AATAACATACAAAAAACAGGCAAACACATGAGATGGATAGCCTTAAAAATTGGTGAATAATAGCATTCAAAAAAATCAGTCCAAAGACTGTGATGGATAGCCTTCAAAATCAGGGACGAATAGTCTTACAAAAATCGACTAAAATGTGTGATGGATAGCCTTCATAATAAGTAACTAATATCATTCATAAAATTCGACCAAAATCTATGATGGATATCCTTCAAAATCGGTGAAGAATATCCTTCAAAAAAATGACTAAAATCTGTGATAGAAAGCCTTCAAAATCAGTAAATTATAGCATTCATAAAAATTGGTCAAAATATATGACAACCTTCAAAATCGGTTAATAATATTATTAAAAAAATTGACCAAACTCTGTGATGAATAGCATTCAAAATTGGTGAAGAATAATCTTAAAAATTGGATCAAATCTGTAATGGATATCATTCAAAATATATGAATAATGACATTGAAAAAATTGATCAAAAGCTATGATGGATAGTCTTCAAAATCGATAATAATAACATTAAAAAATCAAAATTTGTGATGATTAGCCTTCAAAATCTGTGAAGAATATCTTTGAAAATAATCGGTCAAATTTTGTGATGGATAGCCCTCATAATCAGTAACTAATGGTCGTCAAAAAAATTTGCCAAAATTTGTCATAGATAGCTTTCAAAATCGATGAATAATAACTTTCAAAAAAATCAGTCAAACTCTGTGATGGATAGCCTTCAAAATAGGTGAAGAAGAATAACGACCTTAAAAAATGGCAAAAAATGGTGATGGACAACCTTCTCAATCGTTGATAATTGCAACCAAAAAAATCGGCTAAACTCTATGATGAATAGGCTTCAAAATAGGTGAACAATAGTCTTCGAAAATATCGATTGTTATCTTTGATGGATAGCCTTCAAAATCACTAAATAATAATATTCAGAAAAATAGGCCACGATCGAGGGATGAATAGCCTTGAAAATTGGTGAATAATAGTCTTCAAAAAATCATGAAAAATATATGATTGATATCCTTCAAAATTGGTGAAGAATAGCCTTAAAAATATTAGTAAAAACCTATGATGGATAGACTTCAAAATTATTGAATAATAGCTTCAAAATAATCCCCAAAATCTGTGATGGATAGCATTGAAAAATGTGAAGAATAGCCTTCAAAAAATCACTCAAAATCAGTGAAGGATATTCATGAAAATAAGTGAAGATAGCCTTAAAAAAAGCACAAAGTCTGAGATGGATAGCCTCAAAAAATGATGAAGAATAGCCTTAAAAAATAAAATAAAAATCTATAATGAATAACTTTAAAAAATGGTGAATAATATCACTTAAAAAATTGGCCAATATCTTTTATGCATGAAATTAAAAAAAAAAATCTATGATGGAGAGCATTCAAAATCGGTGAATAATACTTAAAAAATTGGCAAATATCTTTGATGCATAACCTTCAAAAAAATATTTCAAAATCTATGATGGACAACTTTCAAAATCGGTGAAGAATATCCTTTAAAAAATCTACTCAAATATATGATGAATATCCTTCAAAATCATTGAATAATACCATTAAAAAATACATCAAAGTCTGTGATTGATAGACTTCAAAATCGGTGAATAATAGCCTTAAAAAAATAGTTCATAGTCTATGATGGATAGCTTTCAAAATTAGTGAATAATAGCATTATAAAAAAATTGGTCAAAATCTTTGATGAATAGCCTTCAAAATTGGTGAATAATAACATTAGAAAGTCGGCTAAAATCTGTGATGGATAGCCAGCAAAATCACATAACAATATCATTCAAAAGCTGTTTATAATTGCCTTAAAAAATAGGTCACAATTGTGATGGATAGCCTTCAAACTTGGTGAAGAATAGTTTCTGAAAATTTGGCCAAAATCTTAGGTAGATAACCTTCAAAATCAGTGAATAATAGCTTAAAAATCATCACAATCTGTGATGGATAGCCTTCGAAATCGATGAAGCATATTCTTCAAAACAAAAAAAATTGTCCAAAATATGCGATGGATAGCCTTCAAAAATAGTGAATAATGTCCTTCAAAGAGATCAGGCAAAGTATGTGAATAACAGTCTTCAAAAATGGTGAAGAATAGCATTCAAAAAAATCGACCAAAATCTATGATGGATAGTTCTAAAAATGATGATAATAGCATTTAAAAAAATTGGCCAAAATTGGAGATGGATAGCTTTCAAAATCAATGAATAATATTATTCTAAAAATCAGCCAAAATCTATAACGAATAACCTTCCTCATGTAGAGTGAATGAAAGATTTTAGGTCAATTGCTTGTTGCAATGTCTTGTATAAAGCTATTTCTAAGTTGCTTGCTAGTAGAATGGCTTTAGTGCTTCCTTCTGTGATAAGTCCTGCTCAGTTTACTTTTGTTAAGGGTTAGATCATTAGTGACAATATCCTTATGGCTTCTGAGTTAGTAAAGGATTATCACAGGAGTTCTATCTCCTAAAGATATGTAGTGAAAATTGATCTTGTGAAAGCGTTTGACTCCGTCAATTGGATGTTTTTGTTTCAAGTTATGAAAGCCATGGGATTCCTTTATAGTTATATTGATCTTGTTCATACCTGTGTTACTTCTCCTAGCTTTATTGTAGCTTTTAATGAGGGTTTGTGTTGACTGTTTGTTGCGGGGAAGGGGCTTAGGCAAGGGGATCCATTATCCCCTTACCTATTCAATATATCTACGAAAGTATTTTCATGCTTGTTACATAAAGCTACCGTATTGTTGAGTTCCCTTTCATCCGAAGTGTAAACAATTGGATATTACACATCTTTGCTTTGCAAATGACTTGTTTGTATTTTCCAATGGTACTTTTAGGACTGTTGCATGAATTAAGAGGGGTGTTGGATGAATTTTACTTCATTTCTGGACTTAAATGCAATCCTGAAAAGAGTCGGCTCTTTTGTGGTGGTATATTTGAAGTGGAGATGAAGAATATTTCTGATTACACATCTTTCCCTATTGGTCGCCTCCTTGTTCGCTGTTTGGGAGTCCCACTTATCTTAGGCAAGCTTAGTAAGTTGGATTGTCAAGTGCTTGTGGACAGGATTATAACACGGATCAGAGGTTGGCACTCGAAAACTCTTAGTTATCCAAGTTTTATCCAGTTGATTTCTTTTGTCATAGTGAGTGTTCTTTAGTTTTGGATGAATATCTCCATCCTGCCCGCAGCAGTCTTTAAAGAGATTGAGAAGATTTGCGACATTTTTTTGTGGGAAGTGGGGGAAGGAAGTACTATGTTGCTATGCTGCTTTCTGAAAGTGGTTTAGGTATTAAGGACTTTTTTATGTGGAATCGAGCTTGTGTGATAAGGCATTTGTGGTCTATTCTTGCTAGCAGTGGTTCTATTTGGGTTGCATGGGTCAAAAGGTACAGGCTCAAGACCAAATTTCTTTGAGAAGTCTTGGATACCTTTATTGGTTCTTGGGTTTGGAAACATATCTTGAAGATGAGGACTTTGGCTGGCAAGCATATCACAGGTACTGCTCCTTCTCTACTTTGCGATGGCAGTGCTATGCCTCGCTACTCGGTTACTAAAGTGTGGCAGAGCATCAAAGTTCCCTGTCCTTAGGTGAGCTGGTCGGAGTTGGTTTGGGGGAACCTTAGATTCCCAAATATTGTATTCTTGCATGGATGACTGTCTAAAATCTCCACATCTGATAACTTGGGGAAACCTGTTTTTGCAGCTTGTTGTTTATGTCCTGATGGAATTGAAAATTGCGATAATCTGTTTGGGAGTTTTTTTTTCTTCTATTTTCTGTGTTCTCTACTATTTCTATCCCTCCTCTTGTTGACTGGAACTTCTATTTGTTTTGGTCATTGAGGATGTGGTGTGGGAGTAGCAGTAGCCAATAGGACTTGTGTTGGCAGAATGTTTTGGAGCCTTGTCATTGGTCATGTGCAGGGGCGGACCCAGGGAGGTTTAGGGGTGTCCCCGGACACCCCTAAATTTTGGGAAAACGATTATCCAACCTCTGGTAGTAATTTACGTATGGACAAAAAAAAATAATTGATAGTGTGGGACACCCTTAAATTTGAAAAAATGATTATCCTTCTGTCATTTGTGTATAGGAATGTAAGTGGTAGGTTGGATAATTCAAATCTAGAACACTATTATTATTAATAAACTTAATTTCCGTTGAGCTAAACTCATTTGTTGTTCGATTTTGAACAATGTGAGTAAAATGACATTCCTATCTCTAATTATTTTAAAAACCTAACAATTAAACTAATTTCAAACTACCCTTAATTTGTATTGATTTTATGATTGTATGGCAAGTGCTGAAAGAGTCTTTCAGCTTTAGGTTACATCAAGAACAAGTTTACAAATCGAATATGCGATAAGTTCGTGAATGATTGTCTAGTAGTGTATATAGAGAGAATTTTTTTAACACTATAGACATCAAGTGTATTCTACAATTATTTTCGAATATGAAAACATATCATGAACTTTTTTAACATATACGAGTAAGGTATTTTCATATTTACAATTTATTTTTATTAAATTTATTTTTTAAAAGAGGACACCCCTATGAAAAATTTCTGGGTCCGCCACTGGTCATGTGTGGAAAGAAAGATGTAGGAAGTTCTGTGGTGAAGGCTCCATCCTCTCCCCTTCTCAATTAGTAGCTCGCATTCGATCAGAGGTTGATTGTATAGTGTTCAAACATGTTGCCCTTGCTCCCGGTTTTTATAGCTTGTTTCACAAATAGAGTTATCGAGTGGTATAATATCTTTCTATAGTATGTAAACAGGTACTTTTGAGAGGATCCCTCGTTTTAGAAAATCCTGGTGCTTAATGCTAATTTTGATTTATTATAAAAAAAAAATCAAAATCGGTAATGAATAGTCTTAAAAAAACCGTCCAAAAATCTATGATAGATAGCTTTTAAACTCAGTAAATAATAGCATTCTAATAATTCTATTAATAATATGATCTTTTAAATATAGTAATAATATTTTTATATTTTAATGCATTAGATATAATTCTAAATTTTGACAACCAATTACCTACCTATTCAATAATAATTCATTACCGCCTAATTAGATCCTATACGGTGTACACTATACAGTCACTACACGGAACAGAATCCCACACGGAGCTTGCTTGAGTCGCCGCTCTCACGCGCCACCGAGGTTGCGTGCACTTCCCGCCTCCTCCATTCCAATAAAGTCCGCCCCCACCCAACCTTTCCTTTTACCTCTCCCGCCAGTGAAAGAAAGAAACTGCCAAATCGGGTTTTCGTAAGCAATGGAGGTGCCGGTGATAGATCTGTCCCGGTACTTGGAGATCGCGGACCAGCTGAGCGCCGACCCGGCCGAACTCGCCGCCCAATCGTCGGAGCTCGGCGAGCTGTGCAAGGATGTCAGTCGGATACTCAAGGAAACTGGCGCATTAGTGGTGAAGGATCCGAGATGCAGCGCCGAGGATAACGATCGCTTCATTGATATGATGGAGAAGTACTTCGAGATGCCGGCAGAGTTCAAGCGCCTGCAGGAGCGACCGCACCTGCATTATCAGGTAATCTCCTGGTCCTGGAGGCTGGAGCTTCTCCTTTTTGTTGTTTGCCTCCATTTTGTGTCGTTGGCTTGCTTTGGATGTTGGGAAAGTGACTGGAATTTGTTAGAACAAATCAAGTGTGAGTGACTCAATTTCGCTCTTCCTTCAAGCTGAACTTCTGATCAAGCTCGTATCTTGTTAAGTGAAATCAGGGAAACATAGAAATCGAAATAGTCAAGTAGACATACTTACATGGGAAATGAAATGGTTGGCTGCTAAGGGATCATAGAAGATATTGTCTGGCTGATGTATAAGGAACGTGTTTGCTTGGACCAGCTCTGTGAGAGTGAGTTAGATTCAGAGAGATGCTCTTTCTGCACCGATCCATAATAAATTGGAAGAAAGATCACTCGAATCAGTACTTTATGTTGCAGAATCTACCTTTGTCTGACGGGCACTAACTTGGATTGCCTGCTAAGGAAATGAACTAAGGTAGTTGGGGCCTGTGATATGAGATTTGTGCTCCATGCTTTCAGTTTCGTCTTAGGATGAAAGACTGGCTTATCACTTAACTAGGCGGAGAAAATGAGCTGAGATATAGAAACCTGTTCCAAAAGCTCAAACATCTTACGGTTGGTTACTTATGTATCATTGTGGCATGGAAATGGAATGGCAGGTTGGGGTGACGCCTGAAGGTGTAGAAGTCCCCAGAAGCCTGGTTGATGAAGAGATTCAGGAGAAGCTCAAGGTGATGCCTAAAGAGTTGCAGCCGTCTTTTCCCCAGGGAGCTGATCCCAAATGGCGGTACATGTGGAGAGTAGGCCCTAGACCATCGAATACTCAGTTTAAGGTAGCGGGGCTCTAAATTCCCTTTTTAAGTGTTTTTTACCCCCATCCCCTACTTGCTGATTCTGATTGATCATATCCCGGCAGGAACTCAATGCAGAGCCTGTCATCCCTGAAGGTTTTCCTGAATGGAAAGACACCATGGACTCATGGGGGCTCAAAATGATCTCAGCAATAGAGGTGACCCATTTAGTCTGGCTGCTGATCATTTTGATTCTAACGGCTGTTTGGCTTTATGTTTTCTTATGGCTGATGCTTATCTCTCAACCAGGTTGTTGCTGAAATGGCAGCTATAGGTTTTGGCTTGCCCAAGGATGCATTCACTTCTCTTATGAAGCAGGTGATTCTCGTTTCTGGATTTTTAGTTGTTTTGGTTTTCAAAATAGTTAACCAGAAAACTGTGGAATGTGGACGAATAAACAGAATAACTGTCTTAATTGCTACCGAGTATTGATTGAATGTCTACCAATTGCCCTTCCAGCCAGAGCTGGATAGCTTTTCCCCTTTGCTCTTTGATTATATAACCATAAAAGCAGGGATTTGCTTTTACTGTTTGCCTACATGATGATTGTATAACCGTTCTCTCAGTCTATCCCCTAAAATCCTAGTTGTCATTTTCAGTAACAAGGCCATTTCATATGGTCATCTGTTCATATTTCTAATTCTTGCTCTTCAACTTAATGCTTCTGTCTTAGCAAATACTTATGCACAGTCCCTTGCCCCCTGCAGGGACCTCATCTTCTTGCTCCAACAGGGAGTGACCTTCGCTGTTATGGCAATGAAGGCACTGTCTTTGCTGGATATCATTATGACCTCAACTTTCTTACGATTCATGGGAGAAGTAGATTTCCTGGTCTTAGCATTTGGCTAAGAAACGGCCAAAAGGTTCAAGTGAAGGTTCCTGTTGGATGTCTGCTTATTCAGACAGGGAAGCAGGTACAACAATTAATGTTTGATCGATGAAAGATCGACGTACATCGAATAAATGACGTGAAGTAAATAATACTACATGTTCCTCGGAGACAGATTGTTGATTAAGCATAACCAGGTGGATTAAAATGATACATAGGCTTGAATTCAATAATAGCTTAAGTTGCTTTGATTCTGCAGATAGAGTGGTTGACTGCTGGTGATTGCATAGCCGGTATGCATGAGGTTGTTGTCACCAAGAGAACTATCGACGCAATCAAATTAGCATCAGAGCAAAATCGCAGCCTGTGGAGAGTATCCTCAACGGTAAAAACGAAAGCAAAAAGCTTTTTTATTTTTCCTGCTTGAATGCTTTAACGTTAATGCTCACCAATGTCATCTCATTTGCAACATTCAGCTCTTCGCGCATATAGCATCAGATGCCGTGTTGAAGCCTTTAGGCCACTTTGCAGAATCCCCACTTGCCGCCAAATACCCGCCCCTCCCTGCTGGAGAGTTCGTCGAACAGGAGCTTGCAGTCATCAATCTGAAAGGAAACAAGAAGGATGACACTGGTCGCTAATCAATTCGGCGACAACTTAATTTAACCCATCATCATTGTCAATTTTTTACTAATGCAATCATGTGTCATTTCATTTCTTGTCCCAAACATACAATTTCTTAGTGAAATGGAATATCCAAGTGTGCTTTGTTATATGGAGATTGCAGCCTTTTTGCCTTATCATTTATGTGCATCCTTCTGGTAATGATGAATTGTGGTTGTAGGTGAGTGTGCGGTACTGGGTTAGACCAAATCGGCATAGGACTAGATCAAGAGTGAAGAAATGAGAATAAGAGTTGAAGGGTAAGAGCATTTGATCTCGGCTGGTTTCAGTTTGGTCTGGTTTTCGTTGTGTCGAACAAGATCTATAGGATGGAAGCCAACTTGAGTATACTTGGCCGGATTCTGATTCCATTTAAACCAGTTCAGTTAAGTTTGGTTTGTTTTCCCGTCATTTTTAACAGGATCTGTGAATTCAAAACTAAACTGAACTATAATTGTTCCTTTTGTTTGATCCTAATATCGATTCGGTCATATTCGAGCTACATTTGCCACTGAATGGAGCCTGATAAAACTTCCTTTAACCACATAGAGTAGGGATTCCTCTTCCCTCTTATCACGGCATCATTCTGTACTATTAACATGCCCGGCTGAGCTATTTTTGCCTAAGCAGTTTTTAACCCAGGAAAGAAAACAGAGCGCCAAAACTGAAAGGGAACTAGTCAGAATGGAGTCATGAAGTTGGAGCTGGCTAACTGTTTCATCAGTGAAGCAAACACACAGGCAACGCAGGTCAGATAGAAAGCAGAGCAGCCGCATGAAGTGTATGATCTCTTTCTCTACTCCATCATACATACAATTAAGCCCTTAAGGCATAGAGAAACAGCATGAACCAACCCTCTGTATTATATTTATACACACACACATACACAAGCATTGAGAATATATAAGTCTGTCCGATCCCTATCTACACCAAAAGCTCAGCAGCTCTTTGACGATGAAGCGTCGAGGAGGAGGAGGAGGAGCGATGATAGTGGCGGTGGTGATGACATGGATGGCGGTGGTGGGAGTCGGGGAAGGGAAAGCATTGACGTGCGGGAGCACATTCTTCTCGGCGCTGGTGCAGCTGATACCTTGCAGGGCGGCGGTGGCACCGTTCAGCCCCATCCCGCCGAGCGACGCATGCTGCAATGCCATAAGGACGCTGGGACAGCCTTGCCTCTGCGCCCTCGTCAATGGGCCGCCCATCTCCGGGGTCGACCGCAACATGGCCATGCTTCTCCCGGACAAGTGCTCTGCCATCTTCGATCCATGTAACCAGCTAGATAGCAAGTCTGAAGCTTCCAACCCATTTTTCCTTCCTTCCCGTTTTCTTCCAAAATATAAGTTTGGTTCCTTTTGTTCTTTGTTTGGTGTTTATGTCAGGCGAGATTATGAAGAAATAGGCAGGCGGGAGCTGCTTGCAGAGGGATGACTCTGAAGAAGAATCGATGCAGGAGGGAAGGAATGGATTGCTTCATGCATTGTTAACGAGAAGATAATAATGTAGCTGTGTATTAACTTTGCAGTAAGTAATAAAAAAACAAGTTAATTCTAGATCATATTACTAAGATAATTAACTAATAAAAATACAAAAAATGGCTATTGTGTTGTCGGCAAAGATACAGATTATCAAGTTTTACATTACGTGTGTTCATCATTAATATGATTGTAAACCATAACCACAAACCAAATTGGGATTCAGATATTTGTTTATTTATTTATCATGTCAGGAACTGGTAGGAAAGAATTGATTGAAGGCGTGATTAGATCACTCTCCTTAGAGTGTTATTTGCCCCCACTACAAATTGCTGGTAGGCTCGAGCAAATCACTCCAGGAGTCCCTTCAATTTTAAGTCTGGAAGCAACTATCTTGCAGGCTTCTGTGTTTATGAAGTAGAGAAGGAAAACGGGAAGAAGAAGTAATCTCTTATCACTAAAAGAATTATGACAATCATCTATTTATAGTTGTGAAAACTGGAAATTACCTTTCGAAGAGTCACATCCTTTCACAGAAAAATGTAGTTACCTTTCTGGAAGGACACATCCTTTAAAAAAAAGAGTTACCCTTTTGAAAGGACATTTCTTTTCACAATATTCAAACGTTAATTTAATTATTTAATTAAATTATCAAAAGACTCCATCTTTATACTTTACTTTTACTTTTCCCATTATTACAACTCTATTAACTACATGCAAAGGCTTATAAAAGTCTAGTTTCGGGTAATGAAATGGTGGCAGCCCTTCTCGCCGTCACTAAAATAATGGCGTCGGATGGTACATTTAGCGACGAACTTATTCAACATTTCATCACCACCACTACCATCGTTTTCTTCTTCTTCCTTCTGCTCTTCATACTTAAGAAACTAATGCTACTCCCCAACCCAACTCGTCCCAATCTCTGCCGTCTTCCGCCGAGCCCGCCGGCGCTGCCGATCATCGGCCACATTCATTTCCTCCTAAAAACCCCATCACTCCACCTCCACAAATGCTTCCACGCTCTCAGCTCCGAATACGGCCCACTAATCCACCTCAAGTTCGGCTCCTACCCTTTCGTCCTCGTCTCGTCGGCGACCCTCGCCGCCGAGATATTCAAAACTCACGACCTCAATTTCTCTTCCCGCCCTGACTCCCCACTGGAAGGCCGCCTCTTGTTCGGCGACTCCGGGTTCGTCACGGCGCCTTACGGCGATTACTGGCGGTTCATGAAGAAGCTCTGCGTCACCGAATTGCTCTCCCCTCGCCAGCTAGACCGATCGAGGTTCCTGAGAAGGGAAGAACTGGTCCGGTTCTTGACGAAGCTGACGGAAAAGGGGTTGAAAAGGGAAGCAGTGGGCGTGGGAGGGGAGTTGATGACGCTGACTAACAACACGACCTGCAGGATGGCGATGAGCGCCAGGTGTTCGACGGAAAGCGGCAACGAAGCAGAGAGGTGCAGAGCTTTGATCAAGGAGTCTCTGGAGCTGACCGCCAAAATGGCTCTCGCTAATCTGCTTGGACCTTTGAAGAAGTTGGGACATCTGGCGCTCAGAAAGCAGGCTAGGGATGTTCCTGCGCGGTACGATGAGTTGCTGGAGGGGATTTTGAAAGAGCACGAGGAAAGAAGAGCTGCTGACCACGATTATGGTAATGGCGGCAGAGAAGCTTGTGATCTGATGGATGTTCTCCTGGAAGTGTCCAAGAATGCAAATGCGGAGATGAAAATCACCAGGGGACAAATCAAAGCATTCTTCTTGGTATAACAATTGGCTAACTTAATTATGGGTGGCTAACTGGTTTCAGGTATCAACATTAACTCTTTCGTATCATTCTGGTTGGTTCAGGATTTATTCATTGCAGGCACCAGCACGACTGCAGACGCAATGGAGTGGACGATGGCAGAGCTTATCAACCATCCCGACGCATTCAGGAGAATTCGAGAAGAGATCAACCAGCAAGTTGGAAGCAGGCTAGTGGAAGAGGGAGACATTCCAGGTCTTCATTATTTGGAAGCCGTTGTCAAAGAAACGTTGAGGCTACATCCTCCAGCAATCCTAGCACCAAGGGCGAGCCACGAGGCGTGCAGGATTGGAGGGTTCGACATACCGAAAGGTGTAGCTGTGGCTATCAACATATTCTCCATAATGAGAGATCCAGAGATGTGGATCAATCCCGACGAGTTCCGTCCCGAGAGGTTCGTTGAACAGGACGGTTGTCTGAGGGGAGGAGGGATTAATGGGTTTGTTCCATTTGGTGGGGGGAGGAGAAAGTGCCCCGGGTCGAACATGGCGTTTGCTTTGATATGCCCTACAATTGCAGCTATGGTTCAGTGCTTTGATTGGGAGCTTGCAGATGGGGAAGAAATGGTGAGCATGGAAGCATGTTCAGGGTTCACTTTGAAGTTGGGAAAACCACTTGTTTGTCATCCCACCACTATCTTCAATCCTTTCCCTCTGCAAAGGTCATCACCTGATTTCAATGATTAATTATTATGCCAAATTATTATGTCTGGCTTTCTTATTCGTCACTAATATTCATGATGAATACACTATGATATCAATACACCCCTCCTTTTTAGCCCACAAGTTTAGGGGCTAGAAATCCTTTATTTTAGAGTATTCGTGTGAGGAATGTGAACGGCATGATGATCTTTCTTTTGCTCACCGAGGATCAATTAACAAACACCCACAATACCACCACGTAAAGGACAGTTGAGTAATAACTTCTATCACAAGGAAACCGGCAATAAATTGTGAGGCATCACTTGTGTTTCTTGCCAAAGTAGGTAATGCAAAATTACACTTCAGCCTCTTTTTGGGTTTCCTAGCCGATATAAAGGGTAGTGGGTGAGAGTTGAGCTTCCTATTCACGATCAAATAACTGAAATTTAGTTCATTTGGTAAGTGCCTACAATAGGGAAAAGGGAAGTTAGGTGTGCTTTGCCTCTTTCACTTCTTGTATATAACCATGACTTACTAAAGCTCTCCAATCTCCTCAGTCTCTAGCATTCTACCTTCCACCATGGAATATTTTAACTACCTCTTCTTCCTACTCTTGGTTTTGATATCCGCCTCGGCTGCCAATGCTGCAACTTTCACACTCCAAAACAAATGCAGCACAACCATATGGCCCGGGACTCTCTCGGGAAGGGGGCCTCTCCTCATCAATGGAGGCACTCAGTTAAACCCCGGGCAGTCCATAACATTTGATGTGCCACATCAATGGTCAGGCCGATTCTGGCCACGAACCGGATGCTCATTCGGCCCCAACAAACACAAATGCTTGACTGGCGATTGTGGTGGTGGCTTGTTGCAGTGCAATGGAGTAGGTGGCGAGCCACCAGCAACACTCGCAGAGTTCACTCTCGACGACCTCAATTTCTACGACGTCAGCGTCGTTGATGGATTCAACATCCCGGTATCAATATATCCGTCTGGTGGGACGGGAGACTGCAAGAAAGTGGAGTGCTTTTCGGACTTGAACATGAGTTGTCCGCAGGAATTGCAGGTGGTGGATGATGGAGGACGGGTTGTAGCTTGTAAAAGTGCTTGCACTGCGTACCATACTCCCGAGTACTGTTGCACTGGGGAGTATGGAAACCCTCAGAGTTGCAAGCCGACCAGCTTCTCGAAGATTTTCAAAGCTGCTTGCCCTAGTTATTATAGCTATGCTTATGATGATGCTACCAGCACTTTCACTTGTAGAGGTGCTACTGGTTATTTGATCAGATTTTGTTGAAAAATCTTCCTTCCTCTACCAACATGATCAATAAATTCATCAAGTAGAGCATAACTTTTTCAGAGAAACCATGCACCTTTTCAATAAATGAGAATGTCATCAATTAAGATGTCAAGACGATATAATGCAGAACGATGAACAAAAATTATGCAGCAACTAAGAAAACTGCAGCACGATCAACTAGGAGAAGAATGAGATATCTCTTACCTCTGACTCTAAAAACTATCAATTCATAAGCAAAAATCGTCAATATTTTCAGAAGCCAAACAAAGAGAGAAGAACATTCACAAAAGGCATGGTGGTTCCAAGGAACTCATTCCAGAAATAACAATAGATTCCAAACAAACTCCGCAAAATCAGTTACAGAAAAATGCCACAACTATGTGCTCGATGTTCATCATAACAAACAAACAAAAATCACCAGTTTCATTTTCTTCAACTATGCATTTCTGATTCCATACAGAAAACTTGCACTCTACATACCTATGCAGTAAGTGAGATTCAGCAAAAGGAAGTGAAAAGATCAATGAGATAAGTACAACAACAAAATCCCTAAAACAGCAGAAGATCACAAGTAATTCCGCTTGTTTCACATATGCTGGCCAATGCAGATTGCAGCAAAGTACCTGCAAAAGATGGAGAGAGCCAACAAAGGTATCACAAGCCTTTTATGATGTTGTGCAGCATCTGTAGCTACTCGTTCCTCCAGCTCGTGGCAATTCATTGTTGACAGCAAGCTCAGTCCCCTTGAGAAGCGAAGCATCCCCCTTCTCATGTTCCTCATTGGGAAGAAGGCTCTTCTTACTAACAATTCGATAAATCTCAGTCAAGACCGAGACAAAAGCTGGCTCAACATTAGTGGCCTCGAGTGCCGATGTCTCCATGAAGAACACATTCTGTGACTGAGCAAACTCCTTGGCATCCTCAGTTGAGACAGCTCGAAGGGACCCCAAATCAGACTTGTTTCCTATCAGCATGACAACTATACTATCACCAGCATGCTCCCTGAGTTCAGATAACCACCTCGCCATATGATCAAAAGATTCTCGCTTTGTTATGTCATAAACCAGTAGAGCACCTAGTGCTCCTCTGTAGTATGCACTTGTTACTGCTCGGTACCTAGAAAAATCGGCCACAAGAAACTAAATAAAACCCCCAATTGGAACCAGTCCATTTCTATTATTAGCGACTCCGGTTCAAAACGGCAAAAAGGGCGAGGCTTTTATAAGAGATATGTCCAACTTGTGCAAACTAAAGCCTCGTGGTTTGGCAGCACAAGGGTTCAACCTGTGCAAACCGTAAAAAATCCACAATTCGGCATCGGCTTTCGTTTGAGTGGGCGTATAAGAGGTTAAAAGGCTTAACTCTAACAGCTTTCTTGGTCTTGAGAACCATTAATCAAAATAGCATAAAGATTCATCCTTGAACCTGATTCAACTACTTCTGGTCAGAATGGATTCTCAGAGACTTGTTCATTCAAAACAGTTCAAAGTTGGAAACTTTATAGATTGGGAACACACATAGAAAGCCAGCTGAATGAACCCACAAACAATCTGAAGGCAGCACCCTTTTTGTTCTCAATCTTTTTGCTAATTGCTACAGAGTCCAGGGAAGTGGGTAAAGGAAAAAAGGTACCTTTCTTGGCCGGCGGTATCCCAAACTTGAGCCTTGACGGTCTTGTGATCGATGTCGAGTGTCTTGGTCTGGAACTCCACCCCGATCGTGGCTTTGGAGTCCACATTGAACTCGTCCCTCGAGAATCGGGCCAGCAGCTGCGACTTCCCGACGGCAGAGTCTCCGATCAGCACGATCTTGAACACGTAGTCGATCTTCTGGTTGTAACTCCCGTGCAAATTCGACATCTCGTTTCCCTCCTTTCTATCGTCTCTGCTGCGCGTATCTAAGAAGAGAAAGCAAAAAGCCTTAACAAAATCGACAAAGATGGGAGCCTTCGAGCTCAGTTCCTCACCGGCAAGATCTGGAGAGGGTAAAAAGGGAGAATTTTCTCAGAGTTCTGAATCTTCTTGGGGTTGGCGGAAAAAGGGAGGGGAAAGGGAAGCAGGGTGGAAAAGGGTCAGATACAGAGTAAGCTGGCCGCGATGATGACCAAAAAAAGACCAACGACTTTTAGGCAACGAAATAAGAACGTTTGCATTCGAAACCGTTTCACAAAGAGCCGTTTTTTCGTGCGGAGGATTTTCCCTGTTTTTTTCTTCCTTTTCTTTCCCCTCTTTTCCGGTTCCCATGCTCTGTTTTTCTTCCACATTAATGGGGCGGCAATAAAAAGGTTAAAAAAGAAAGCAAATCAAGATCGTGAGAATTAGTTGAAGATGCGGTTCAGTAATGTTTGCTAGTGGTGAGTATCAACTCCATATAGCATCATGTAAGATCTTTGAATATTTATACTTTGATCTAGCGATTTATTATATTCGAGTTGAAGGAATTCTTTTGATTATAAACAAAATTTTCAATGTATAACAGCATCCACATTGGAATTGCATTTTGAAATGCATCATGACATGACATTCATTTGCAAATGTATTAATGTAGATGACAATTGCATCTTTGCAAACTTGCATCTACATTGGTCTTTGCATTTGCAAAACCAGTTGCATCAATGTAATTGCATGTATCGTAGTAGGGCCAAACCCCGGCCGCCCTTCAACTTAGGTGAGAGCAGAGGGCTACTCAAGGGTTTTATGCACCAACTGATTGATGGTGTGGATCGAACACACGACATTGCGTGTGCCGAACCAACAACCCACCAGCTGGGCTACCCAATTGCATATGCAAGCTAAAATGGCCTAAAAATAGAAAAAAATTTCTTTTACTTTATTTTCTATTTTACTTTATTTTATCATAATTTAAACTACATATGCGATTGCAAGTGAATTGCATTGATATAGGTGCAATGACACTAAGACTCGTTTGCTTGTGGGATTTGAAAATGAAGGTTTTGGGTTTTAAAAACCTTTGGATTTATGATGGATTTGGAAGAGTACATTGTTTGCTTAGTTAATTTTTATCATGGGTTTATGATTGATGTGTCTCATAACTTTGCCTTCCATTATAAAATCCCAAATGATTGTCCAAATTCGTGGACCCCACGGATTTGTATCCCTTAATAAACAATGAATTTGGAATTTGGGTGCCAAATCCATCCCCAAATCGCACAAGCAAATGATACCTAACATGAGTTGGATTGAAAAAACATTGAAGTGGCAATAAAAACCTAATATGCAATTGGTTGCTCTAAACCTTATTATCAATCAACTATCCTTGCAACTCCATAACCATACAAAAATCCAATTTCTCTCATTTGGACCAAGAGCTTTCTTTCCACTTTGACAGTGCCTTGTTCTTTTTGCAGTTACAGGCTTGAGTTGAGCTGTAGAATGAACTATCCATCCTTTACATTTAAAGTAATCACCGAGAAGAGTAGAATACAATTACAGTTGGATAAGGATTTCATGATCTTCTCTTTCTAATTTCAGCAGGATGAACCATCAAAACAAATGTGGTAAGGGCAGGGGAGGCAGGCAATAGACAAGTGTGTTCCTCGAAACCCCCTACCAAATCCTACTGCTACACCAACTAACCATTTTTTTCTTATCCACATACCACATTACCTTTCTTTCACCAAAAAACAAGAAACTATCTTCTGGCCCCATCTTCCTAAACCTTTTACTTTTCTTATGTACATAGAACAACCCAAAAACAAATCAAGCTTTCTGTTCTCTCAAACATGTGCAGTTGGCTTTTGTATCCTTCATACTCTGCATTTGACATAAAAGGAAAGGACTTTAGCAATGGAACCAAGTTCAATTTTATCCAAAGTTGTTGTCTTTGATGGTGTGGGTTGGGCCTTACCTTGACTTGTTTCTGCAAGTCTTTGATGTACTCAACTGCCAAATCTAACATTTCTGCTGTGTTGGTCTGCTGGATAACAAGAAAAAGGAGGAACAAAGATAAGTACTTGATATGGTTGATGGTGAAACCCTAATTAGATATTTGATGAAATGGAGAGGAAACCTAACCTTATCTGTTACGGGGAAAAGTTCTTGCAATTTCCTCATCCTTTCGCTAATTTTCGTTCTTCTTACCTGCAATTCAACACCATGGGCGTATAAACACACAATTTTTTTCTGGACAAAAGACATGAAGCAGTTGACGATAAGTGAGGTAGATGGACATGGACAAAGAACAAGTAAACATACCCTTTCAGCAATGCTTCGTGGGTGAGTGGCGAAACCTCGTTTGGCACGAGTCTTACAAGGGACGGAGCCTTGAAGCTGCAAGAACTTCTCTACCGACGCCATCTCAGCAGCAGTTTTAGGCAAGCTCAAGTGGTGAGTCAACCGATTCCCACCACCACTACCATTCTGAGACCAAAAAAGCACCAACATTTAACAACATACCATCAGCAACTTCACCACTTCATTGTGTTCTACCTACATTCAGTCATTTCGTTCGAAAACAGTAACGTTACCTGCTGATGAATGTTGTCCATTGCATTCAAGGTCGAAAAGAAGTCCAAATCATCACCATCATTGTCCTGTTTCAATCTCTTGATCCCATTTGAAGAAGTGAAGTCCCACGAGTTGTTTGAGGAGAGCCTTTTGCCAGAGTTGGGAGTCTTGAATGTTTCCTCACCGTTTTCAGAAATCTGGGGCAACAATCTGGGAGCTGAAGTACTGAAGCTTGTTGTACGGCTGCTGCTCAATCTGCTACTAGTACTGTTATTTGGAGATGGACCGACTTCCCTAATTCCATGGAACCCTACCCAAAAAGAAAAAACACCCAATTGACAAAATCAGGCATAAAGTAATCCAATCCCCTGCCTTGATAATAGTCAAATGAAACAAGCTAGCTTTAGTTTAGGTCCAGAAAGGTCGGATCACGTGCAATTGGTGAATGGGTGACAATGACAGACAGGCTACTCACTATTATTCAACGCAGATCTAGAAATGAAATTTTCTCAGGAAACAAGCAGGAAGGAAGCGATAAAGATTTGGACTTTCTTCAAGGAAAACTTGTTTGCTTACCATTTTCAACGACCAGGCTGGAGAAGAACCCAGCTGGGGAGCTGTTATGTCGAGCGAGATTCGATCCATTACTACTGCTAGTATTATTATTAGCAGCAGCAGCAGCAGCAGCAGCAGCAGAAACAACAGAGGAACCCAAATCAATCGAATCCATGAACGTGGCAGCAGAATCACCACCATGACCCTTCCATTCGCCCGAGCTTTCGTTCCCCAAATTCTGCTGGAAACTTGAATCCATCGCTTCTTGCTTCACAAAGCCTCGCAATTCCTGAGCAGCTGGAGACGGAAGCAGCAGAGGATCCTGATTCCCGTTGCTGGTCGGAGACAGCAACCTCGAGAATATGGCGTCCATGTCGGGACTCGACGGCCGGAAGTAGCGGAAATCATCGAATCCCCCTCCGGCGCCGCCATTGACGAGATCTTCGAAGAATGAGCTTGGCGCGGAACGAAGACGCGCCAACCCTGAATGATTACTACCCTGATGCTGCTGCTGCTGCTGATGATGATGATGCTGATGATGAAGGTTGTAAGGACTGAGATCCACAGCAAGATCCTGGAAGCTGTTCTTCCTCAGTTCTCCATCTGGGTACTTGAGATTACTGCTGTAAAGAATCCCACTGCTCATGATGTCTTCCTGTGAAACATGAAATTCATCACCACCAATTCCAGCCATGATTTCAGCTTAAAGTTCCAATCTTTATTTTTTTGTCCCTTTACCCAAGTTCTCAATCTGGGGATTGAATGAATCGGATTTGGTTTACAGTACCTGAACTGGATTGGATTAAGAAGGTGGGGTTGAATGCTGCGCCGTTGACCTCTAAAAAAAGCTTTCCAAACTTTGCCTCTACTTCACGAAGATTGCTTGCTGCTTGTTCCAAAAATGGATAAGAAGGGAGGGAAGAAAAAGGAAAGAAGAAAACAGAGCCAAAAAGAAAGGCAGTCGCTTTCTTTCTTCAAAGCGAAGTGCAATAATATCTGAAACAAGCAAAAACCAAACAATGCTCAGCAAAAACAATCCAGACACGAAAATAGATCAAAACCCAGTACAGCTGAGAAAGTTGAAAGAACTAATCCAAATCAAGGAGAGCACAGAAAGAGAGTAGTAGTTAATAGTACCCTTGTGATTTTGCAGTTCGAAAGGCGGGAAGAGAAACAGAGTCTAGCTCAGAAGTCAGAAGGAAGCAGAGTGCAGAGAGAGAGAGAGAGAGAGAGGAACGTGGGAGCGAGTCATTTGAGGAACGAAGGGGGAGGCGATACATATAAACAAGAATGGTGTTTCCAAAGTGGGCACCGAGTTGGGACATAATCACGTGAATGCCATTGGTGATGATGATGACGATGGTGGAAGGTGGGTCCCATGGTTGTGCGGGCAATTGATGACTGGGACAGAGACTTGAGAAGAAGAAGAAGGGATATTGGGAATTGGAGGGCTGGGCTCTTTTGTCTTTTGGAGTTAGCGAGAAGGGGGCTGGAAGAGGGAGCCTGGAGAGGTGAATGCGATGGCTATTAGTGGAAAAACACGGTTAGTACAGCAGTGTGATCCAGTGATTATTACCTTTGTTATGTTGCAGATAGGGGTGTATTTTAACGTTATCCACATCTGCGCTATAGATAGGGGCCAATTTCATTAATGGTCATACGAGTTTGGACTTGCTAACGAATGGTTTCTAAAGTTTGCTTCTTAGCAAAATCATCACTAATGTTCGAAATAAATAATAAAAGTATAAGACTATTACTTTATGTTATTGGGGGAGAAACGAATTTCGAGCTCCTCGTACGTATCATGTCTCCAGTTACAGCGAGCATGTGTGTTCCTCTCGATTACTTCAAGAAGCACAGTCTAATATTGGTTTTAATTTTTTTGTTTTTGGTGCACAGACAAGTTGGTTGTTGAGTGAGCTTAAAACCGTTCTAATTAGGTAATAAATATTGTATTATCCGAGGTTGAATATATTTCCTTCTCGATAAAAAATAAGTCCGTTGTCGATTTTTACTTAACATCTCCTTTTTTTAATGATCAAATTTGTTCATTTTTATCAACAACAAAAACATTGTCAATTTTTTCCAATTCACGTGTCAAGTCTTCCAATTTAATACTGAACCCATAAACCCTGGAACGGAAGTGGCTAGATTGATTTTGAGTAATATGTGGATTGAAGTTTGAGCAAAAATAGTTTGGTTTCAATTGGATATGATTTAATGGAAGACAACGTAGTGAACAAAGTGACTATTACGTTTGGAGCTTCGGTCAAAATTTGTTCGAAAATTGAAATTTGGTGATTGATTGGTAAGTCATCATCAAAAGAATGATGATTTATACAACAAAAGCAGAGCATACGTGGGCTTTGGGATACTGGTGGTGGTGGTAGGGAAGTAGAAAACGTGGCTCCTCAGTGTTTTGAACCTTTGGGTCCAGGCAAGGGAATAGAGCCCAAATTGAAATTACCACCTTCTTTTTTCTTCTTTTTTTTTTGGTTTGGTTGCCGCAAAGACAAAGCAAGTTCCTCCTTCCTTCCACCAAAATCAATTTCGAATCCCTACTTTTCAAGTCCTTGTTTCAAAGCCGTTAGCCGTAATCAAACTTTGGAAAAGCTCATCTACACTACTATTCAAGAAGTCTATTTCTTTAATCAATCATCATACAAATATGTAAAGGTAGGGTGAAAATTTGCACGCTTACATGTCTCGCATTTTACGAGTAATCAAATTCACAAAACTTGATTATACTTACAACAAATCATGATGTCGCTAATCACATTAAACCTACTATCCAATATTTGTGGTGCGGTTAACCTCAGTGTGCATAGTTTGATGCGGTTAGCATCTTAACGGGTTATCCGCAAACCTATATAGTGAACCAAATATGGGTATGCTTAATGCTACATAAGAAGAAATAAAGAGCAAATTTCGTTTGCAACTATCTAGCTAAGTGAAGACCTGAAGAACCTCAACATAATACACAACGAAAATGTTAACTCTTATGGTATCCTTATAATGTAACATGCATGACCCTGAAAATCGTGCTCATAATAATATATAAGTCTTGATAATTACGTATAACGTCGTACATAAATTGCTTTAGAATTGCAATGTAATCACCGAAAATATGTAACTTATATTCTTTTGATACAATTATCAACGTATAAGAAGAAGATCATCATTGTTTTGTGATGGAAGTTTGCACACAATTTGAGTAATTACTCAGATTATAACATTAATAAGAAATTATATTTAACCTACGGATGACTGTTCATTAGCCTTTTTCTGGTAGGTTGATATAGTTTTGGATGATTCTATTGCGCCGACTAACGAATTTTCATGAAGCTAGGAAGGTTTGTTCTTTTTTAATGTGTTCAAATAAAACGTGTTAATTGGTTAATTCTTCTGCTTAATTTCAACGGTCAAACATTTGTTATTTTTTTGTTTAGATGCGTGTGTGCGCTTTTTTTTCCGGATAAATGGTTCAATAGCATGAATCTGATACAATAGGCTTATTTTAATTTGATCAGTTTGGCGTGGCCTGTATTTTGTAATGACTTCCTGTGTTGAGGCTGATATCTGTCGTGGCGTGTGGTATCCAGTAGGGTACTTCGCCTCAAGTTTCAAATTCACCATTATTAATAGTTTAACACACGCTTGGTAAGAATACATAAAAATGGATAATCACACTACATTTAGTTAATTGTTGGGTAAATTAGTTCACTGGAATCACTAAAAAATTTCACGTGTCACTAAACTATTTTATTCCATTTGTGGTCACCGAAGTTAATTCAACAATTCACGTTTGATCACTCTCGATTACCTTCCGTCAGTCTCCATTAAGGATGTCAGTTTTTTGCTGACATGACTAATAGAAATGCCTAGTCACATAATTTCAACCCTAAAAATTTAAAATCCTACCCGCCACATCATATAACCACGACCCAACCCGTGACCCAACCCCTCTACTCTCTCTCTCTCTCTCTCTCTCTCTCTCTCTCTCTCTCTCTCTCTCTCTCTATCTCTCTATCTATCTATCTGTGTTTCATCTTCCTTCATTGCCCGGCTGATGACTCTACCGTCGTCGGATCAGTAGTGGAGGCGAAGGAACAATGTCGCAAAGATCTCTCCCAAGTCCCAACATCATCCTCACCAAGACACACCAGCTCGTCGACGATGGATCTAGTCTCATCATCTGGAATCTCACCGTCTTCACCAGTGATATCCTCCCTAAATCTTCATTTATATCTTAATAAACTTATGTCCAATCTTACAAGTTCGATCTCGAAATTTCAAACACGATCAAAATTCCTTTCTTAATCGAGACTAATATATATATATGGTGGTGTCTTCGGTGCACTCACCTTTTTGGGTGCATTCAGTTCACTCGCTTCATAACCGTCATTTTAAACATGCGATTTATGTTAAAATGATTTCAATCATCACTTATGATGTGATGAACAATAGCGCACATGAATTTCCACAAAAACCATTAAAGATTTACTTTAATTTGAAGTATTTAGAGTTTGGAGATTTAGGGTTAGGGTTAGGGTTAGGGTTTATAATTTAGGGTTTAGAGATAAAACTCAAAATTGGATGTCTAGGGCTTAGGGTAATCTGCTAATTAATTGTTATCATATGTTATATCATCATATTACTCTAATTCTACAAATTAAAATTCAAAATTTGACACCTTAAGAGTTAAGACTAGCTTTTAATTGGGTACATTGAACGCACTCATTTTTGTGAGTGGACCAAAGTAGTAAAGATGGTAAGAAATATTCTTTGAATTTTTAACCAACCTCCACATAGACGACACCACCAATCACCAACTAAACATTCATGGATGCCCTCCTCTGTACCAGGATTGTTGCCAAATTTGTGTAGCAAAACAGAACACTAAACAGCAACTGTTGAAGGTAACGCACGTGTGAATTAGGATAGGATAAGATTCATGATTATATACATAGAATACAGTGATTAGTGAAAGCTGTAAATAATGAAGGGGTCAATTTCGGTTTAGCGCGTCGACCTTTCCATGCAACGGGGAGACCAAAGCAAAGCCTGAAATGAAAGCAATACATTGAATAGAACAAGCAAAGACAAAATGATAATACCATATTTTAATAAGACAGCAAAACCAAGAAAATCAAACAAACAAATTAAAAGGAGGTTTTGCAAAACCGCCGGATTTATTTTGAGAAATTATATTAATACAACAACTTGCATCTTCCTTGGACCTTCGAAAGGTCTCCCCTTAGTCCACAAAATAAGGAAGAAAAAGAAAGCCTAAACAACAAACAAACCTTCGAAGTCATACCCACATGACCTAGAGCTTATTTATTTATTTATTTATATAAAGACACCTAGAGCTTGTTATGGCTTACATGTTTGGTGATGGATTGATATATCTCATTTATTTGCACAGTTTATATCATGAAAATTGAAATTCATTATACGAAATAAAGCTAAGATTATGCCTATTTATTGTCACTCAGATGTGTGTGTATATATGCATGTATTAGATGGATAGTAGACAGATATTGTAATGAAAAGAAAATAATTTGCAAGTTATTGTGTTGTTATTTTCTTAAATTTCATGACTAGTAAGAATTGGTGACGTTATACAAGAACTACTTCTAATGTGCATACCAATGTTCTCTCTAGTTGGTTGATTAGTGACCTATTAGTTTTTTTAGTATATTATTTTATGAGAAATTGATTAATTAATCCTATTAGGTGAATGATTGCTATTGTTTCCACCCATATCATGTGATTAAGCTCATTTTGCATGTTATTATATATGTATCCAAATGACCAAAGGAGAGTAGTTTGTGGTTCGAATAATATAAGGGTTTGAAGTTTGAACAGCTGGTTGACTCCACTATTATTTCCCTTCTTGCTTTTGTTTTTATTTTTGGGGGAGAAGCTCAATTGAATGAATTGATTGACTTTTTGGAAAATGTCAACCCCTATTTTAATGTTGATGAATGAAGATGTCAACCTTTTCCTTTTTTGTTGCGAGGCTGAATTGAACTTGAAAAGGCAATTTTTGCTTCGTTGTTGTGTTTGAATACATATTAATTGGCCCTATTTGGTTTGGTAGATCGATGATCACCTCAACTCAAGTGGATATATCCTACTGAAAATGTTTTGGTAACATATAAATCTAATCTCTCTTGACCAAATTGGCAAAGCCCAAACCAATATTGACGATATAATACCATTTTCAACCCTACTTTGCACATAAAGTCAAAATCAGAGTGGATCATCACGTCTCTAATCATCTTCATATCATACATTTGATGACGATACGTATTTGGATTTGACTATTCGCTGCAAAAAAATTCATCTAAAGTGATAGTTACGCACTTCATATTTTGTGATCTCTTTGCACAGTACACGGCTTATAATCATGAAGTTTGAATAAAAAAAAAAAACAAATCGGCTCATTTCCATAGGTTAAGTGATTGAATAGAGGTGGAAGGACACAAAAATGAATTAACTTTTTAGTTCCTTATATATCGTGACCATCAATGGATATTTATTTGAGAATTGTTCCAATTGCATGAGGGTGTCCTTAAGCCAAGGGGTTCTATAAGATAGCCATAGTCACATAGTCGTGAGATAGACTTCGGATATAAGTATAACATTGCCTTATTCTGAAGTTAGCTAGCTGTTGACTCCCATATCTACTAATTGTTTCCCCCCCAAACTGGGGTTGGTCCCCAAATAATTCAGCAGTCAAAGGTGGGAATCCTTTGCTTCCACATTATTCTCCAATAATCTTCTATACATATTCAACTGTAGAGTCATTGTCCCAATTCCTGTATCAAAGGTCAACTTTGCTCTCGATTCAATCTCTCCAACCTCTAGGATCATATCTACTAATTGGTTTCTGATAAATGATGTGTTGTAATAGGAGTATTTTAATAAGATTAAAAAAAAGGATGGAACTTCCATATCTAGAATTATTAGGGAATAATACTTAATGGAATATGTATACATGCTGCTCGTGGAAAAAGATCAAAACCAGACCTTTTCCGATATTCTTGCAGGTGATTTTTTGTTGTAGGGTCAGAAGCAGACAACCACATACTCCAAGTTACATGGAAGCACGACCACCTGTGCTACTGCTATCCCAAGAGAAGGGATAGAAAGAAGAGAATAGTTCTGTTATACCCTTATTCTTTAAGGGCACTATTCCGCTGTTATCAGCCTTTGGTATACAAAACGTAGAATCAATTCCTCCTGTGGCATACTTATTACTGTTTTCAAGAACATTGGAATAGGTTCTGCGAATATAAAACAATACTGTTATACTATATCTCGCAAATCCCCATTCCAATAGTGATCTGGAAGTTGCAGCAAAAGAGGCTTCACTTTCAGCACAAAAAAATCTTACACGCACAACAAAATTAGTAAACAGCACTCAGTCAATTACTGACATGACGTAGGATTTGTTATCAAAGGCAAGCTCTTGAGACAACATTCTTGTTCTTCATTCAACTGTCACGATAGCAGGTTTTTGCTCTCTCAATAATATGCTTTCCGAGGGTTCCCCTGCAAAGTAGAGAACAAAACACACAGACACAGGCTATCAGAACCAGGGGGCTATAGAAAATGTTACACCTTATGGCTCCATGAATGTGAGGACTAACGACTTCAAAGACAAGAGAGACAAGCAAGAGAAGATGCAAATACCAGAGGGTTGGGCCTATGACGATAACCGAGCATCATTCGCTTCTTGTACTGCTCATAGATATCATCTTCAGGCGTCACTTCACCAGGCTGCTGAGCTCCAACACCCAAGTTGTCCTTCTTTACATTCCCGGCCATAATTGGATCAGCCATACCACTTCTTGAGCTGCCCAGACCCTCACCTATAAGAAGAACCGATGATTTTATCAAATCTTCAAATCCTTCATAACGAAGCATCATTCATGATCTGTAACCAACCAACCTTCTCTCCAGCCCATTTTGGACAACAACCTATGCCCAACATTGTCGGCCTGAATTCGTGCTCTTTCGGCAGCCTCCTTAGCAGCTTTTTGGGCAGCAGCATCATTGCAGTTAGCCATGAACTTCGCAAGCTCTTCCGGAGGGATATAATCACCCATGTGATGACCTTTCTTGGAAGTGCCTGGACCTGTCAAAGGAACTTAGGGGATGAGAAGAGGACAAAACAATGAATTCTAGGTGCGGAAGTAATCACTTGGTCTATTTACCTTGAAGGGAAGCCGGTGGTGGCATTTCATCCTTGGACTGTTTAGGCTGCCTCCTCTTCTCTTCATGAGCAGCTTTCTTCATGTAGAACTCCATCATTGCAATGGGATCAGTACCCGGTGGTGCAGTAGATTCTCCTGTTAAACAAAAGGGTAAAAGTATTCATCAATAAATAGAAGTGTTTCACCAACAAAATAGAATATATAGGCTGTACCAGTTGACCCTTGAGAACCTGCATGTTCTAAAGAATTCCTAGGGTCTTCAGCAGCTCCGTATAAAGCTGAAGCAGGGATTTGATAATTTGGTTGCTTCTGATGTGATCTATGAGAACTGACTGTGGAATTTGACGCTGACATGCTAGTAGCCCCTACAACAAAAGCCCCACAGCTATTAGAACCCCAGACACCAAGGAGGAGAATGACAATAACAAACTCTACCACAACAACTAAATTCACGAAACAACAATGATGTAACACCAGATAATGAATCATAAGAATTTGAAGTGTACTGAAACCATAAAGAGAACTTGAGAGACTCACCAGCATGTTTGTCATAATCCCTAGTCATGGCAAGAACCTTTTCCTCTTCAGCAAGTCGGAACTCATAATACTTGTAGTCCGGACATGCTTTATCAAACAGAAATCTGCAGACAGCATATGCACGAAGTGTAATTAAAGCCTCAAAAAGCATATTTTAAAGCCGGTATTATAAAGGATGGAGGAAGCTGTGTAAAAGAAACAACTTCTTTGCCACAAACATAATGTCCTATTACATACTTAAATGGGGTATCCCCTGGATTCTTCTGACGAGTGACATCCTCAAACTGCCTGCCATTTTTGGCAACAAAACTTGCTAATTTGTCTGCAACTTTCTTCACTGTAGGGTCACTTGGGGAAGTTGGGGCTGCACATCACTTATAAAACTTATTAATACCAACAGCATGAACAAGGTAACGGAAATTACTCTTGTAGCAGGCGTGTCACAAATGCCAAATCTTTCATTGAACATCTCTTTCCACGAATGTTGGTTGGTACTTAAAAGATAAGCTGCATTCACGAGACAAGTAAGATTGAAGAAATTTTTCCCTCTATATCTGCCAAATAAAGACCAGAGAAGAGACTCCCAAAGGCAGAAGATCGATGTAAACAACCATGACTATTAACTGCAGACAACGTTTCTTTGAGAGCTTTACACTTCGCATGCAAACCGACAACATAAGGATCCTTAAACATAGAGTACACAGGATATAATGCTACAGCTAAACAAAAACTCGATTCAAGCCAAGGCACTACAAGACAAAACTTAACTAGTTTCATCAAAAGACTTCACATTCACGAACATGATGATAACTACTGGAGATTCTTTGTATACGCAAAATGCCAGAGTGCATTTCTGTGCTTGTAATTTCTGCCTATGTTAACAGTATAGGTGCAGCAGAGGAATTATACAGCAACAAGGCATAAACATGTAGTGAGTAATTTTGTCTACCAAGAAATCTAAGGCACCAAGTGATCCAAAAAGCCACTTATTAACACCAAATAATAACAATAATATGTGCAGTATTTACCAACACCCTCTTGTCTCGATAATTTTTCAGAGGCATCCATTTGCCCCAATTTCTGTCTTTTAGATGGTGCATCACTTGAACCAGTTCCACCTTCTGCTTCCTCGTCATCTTCTTCATCCAACTTGACTGCAGGTGACACAATCTTTGACTTCTGTTTCAAACTGAAAGCAAGTTTCCCACCAGAAGCTGACTGGAGGCTATTGCGCCCATCACTACCCTTAAGCTGCATGCTTATTTTAACAGCAGCAGGTTTAGGAGTCACAGTCCCAGAGATAATTGTTTTGGGTTTAGACTCCTTTTCAGCTGTGCCCTTGTCTTTCTCCTTGTGCTCCCCATTCTCTTGCTGAAGTTGTTTGAACCTCTCCATGAATGAACCATCATTAACGAAAAGAGTAGGAGGTGTTTGTTTATCCATCACTGCTTAGACAGTCGGACTCTTTACAGGGATTGTCTGGTTCACTGTCTGACAATAAGCTTTGCAGACATTTAGGCACACACATAAACAAAACACCGATTTCTATAATTTTAAACTAAAGTAGGCACATTAGCATGTTTTGACATTAAGAAGCAGTGTAATAGAACATAGATGAATAACAGCAACAAAAACTATCGTACTTCCTTATGCAGCTGCAAATTTAATACCTGGACCATTTTAAACAAGCCACGATAGTTTTGATGATGTATTGGCTTGCAGCTGCATAAGGAAGTACGACTTGATGTACCTGAACCATTTTGATGATAGAACATAGACCAACAACAGCAACAAAAACTATCGTACTTCCTTATTCACTACTCAAATGGGGAAACTTTTCTATAACGTACATCAATGGCTTCAAGCCAATACATCATCGAAGTACAAACTTGCCAATCGCTCTGATGGGAGGAGTAGATATAAATTTGCTTCTGGAATCAGCGAGAACCCCAATGTTTTTGTGAGCAAATTCAATTGTATCCCAACTCCTAACAATCCACAAACTTCCTCGCACCATTCCTCGTCTGATAAGATAAAGGGTCAACCAATACCAACTATCTCGCCCACCAGTAAGTGCCTGTTGCCCTATCCCCAATGCTCAAACAAGAGCAGTGGGCCGCACTACACAACGTAGGCAAATTTCTATGCATTGAAGCAAATAGAAAAGACAGATCTATATTCCTGGCTCCATTGCGTGATAATAATGGATCTGGATGCTAACCAATTCAACCATAAATTAAGATACGAGTCCTTACTCAGAATCAAATTCAACGAAATCAGGAGCTATGGAACCAGAAGAGCCAGACTATCTGGGCGTAGAATTTCAAGAAGCGTACCTGGTTAATCCTGGGGAGCCTTCAAAGAAGGTCGTTCGCCCAAATCGATCGCGGTGATTTCAGGGAGGAAATTAGGGATTTGGGGACAATTCGCAAGGCCACCGACTCGCTTACGCAAGGAGAAGAGGAGGAAGAGACGGAAGAGAGGGAGAAAGGAGCGAACCCGATTGGAATGGTGCGGGTTCCCTCTATTTTATGCCCGAAACGGGAAACGAGAAATTACAAGGATAAATGAACGATATTTCTCGAGAAGACCATATATCGCAATTTTAACACGAATTACGAGTGAAACGATGAGAAGGTACGAGTGAATAGTCGAAACGCAATACGTTTCGGTTTCTCAAAACCAAAATCGAAACACGATTACGATATATCACGAGTCGAAAAAATATCGCCATATTGACTCTGATCTTGAAAGCCCCCTTCATCATCGAAGTTCACGGCCACCCACTGGTAACCAAGAAACGCCGGCACTCGGAAGAAACGGCACCAAATTCGTCGGAGTTCTCCATGGATGCAATCGCCGGCGTAAAATCCCTAAACGCCATGACCCCTCTGCATTTCCTCTCTCCAAAAGCCTCAATTTCCCGCTCAATCACTTTTCTCCGGCAGGTCAGTAGGCGGGAGCAGCTAAATCCGTCTGCAACTCGCCGTCGTTTCTCTGCCGTTTGCTCTCTATGTAACGATGTTTTCCTTTTCACTATCCTTCCGAGTTTTAGAGTTCCTCTTCTGTTAAAAGCTTGCTCTTTTTCGCGGGCGGGGTAGTTTAACGGTTTCGTTTCGTGGGTTTTGCAGCTGAAGAAGGCGGGAATAATGGCTACTCATTACCGCGGGGAGCAGGTGAAGCCGTGAGTGAAGTCTCGAGTAAAAAACTTCTTCAAGTGGTGCTAGTCTCTCCTCAGGTGAAGTCATGGAAACATATGAATTTCAGTGTCGTCCTTTAGGGGGGATTTGGTTTGAAAGGTCCTTCTTTGGATGATTATGCATGTCATGAATGTAGAATGTGATTTAAGTTTGCAATTGCTCAAAGGGAAATGGCATTTCAGAACCGTTGATTGAATCCAATGCTTTCAAGAGTAGCCATAACTTTGTTGATGCCATTCGAAAGCATCAACGAAACTTAGAATCGTAATTAGGGTCTGAGATTATGCATTGTTGTGGGTTTGGCAGATTCCAGGGAACACAGGTTGCATTGCTAGAACATGTGCAGCATCAGGTGTTGGTCTACACCTAGTTGGGGTGAGTGCTGTGTTGGGGCAATTGGCTAATGCAGCTGTGAATTTCCGCACTCTTTGCTGATGGTTTATCCTCGGTTGACAGTTAGTCTGTCGTGCTAATGGAGTTGGTACTCCCTCCTTTGTTAATCAATTCAGCCATTAGGGTTCCAAATCGATGACACAAAGCTAAAGCGTGCTGGACTGGATTACTGGCCGTATCCTTATTGTTATCAGCTTTTGCCCTTTTAACTCAGAACACCCAATTGCTTGTTGATGTACACTACAACGAATGCTATATCTTCCATTTTAGTTCATGAGCATAGCTCTTGGGATTGCTCAACAAACCCTACTTGCTCTTCTACTAGTTTTCCTCAATCTGGTGCTCTCAGATACGTCCTTGTGAAAGTCCACAACTCTTGGGCAGAGTTTCGAGAATATTTCATCCAACAGGAAGGCGAGAAACGATTGCTAGCATTGACTAAAAGAGGGACGAAGATTCACTCTGTAAGTTGATAATCACCATTTCAAGAGGAGATATGCATTTTCATATGCCTGGTTTGAGTTGCTGCATGTAATTAGGTTGGACATTGCCTTCATGACAGGTGATCCTTCTTTTGTATGTGCTTGGAACAGGAATGCTCGTACAGGAAAGGAGACTACCTAGTATTTGGGGCCGAGACATTCGGGCTGCCACCCGAAGCCCTGGAAGACTGCAAGCACGAGGAGTTTGGAGGTGGAACCATTCGTATCCCAATGGTTGAAACCTACGTAAGATGTCTGAATCTCTCGGTGAGCGTTGGCATTGCACTGTACGAGGCGTCTAGACAGTTGAACTACGAGCAGCTGCAGCAGCAGCAGCAGATCCCCTCTGAACTGGTTGTCGAGAGAGAACAGTCAATCATGAGGGAGGACATTTTTGCTTGATCTTTTTGCTTTGGAGGTGTACTAGAATGTTGTAATCGGGTTCAAGTCAGTGTACCAGCAGGATTAGACTGCTGCTCAAATTTTGACTGTGAGAAGCCGATTTGGGCTGGAAAATGGCGTTTCTACTTGATATATTGTATGTAGATTGATGAAACCACTCAACCAAATCTTGCATAGCATAATTGAAATATTTAGAGATGAGTTGTTGAAGAACATGCACATATAATGGAATAATATTGGATGATAATGCAAGTGATTGAGGTGGTGAACACGAATAATTTGTCTGTGTGTGTTTATTTTGCTGCAGTTTGGAGTGCAATTATCATATAGAATAATGATGATTAATTAATAATTGAGAGAGTGGTGGGGGATTTGTGGAAGTTGGATAATTGAATTTGAGAGAGCACAGACGACCTCTGTCTCTCCTATGTCTCTGTCTCTGGCACATGGTAGAGACTTAGTTTAGTACTCGACTCTGACATTTGTTCCACATCGTCATGTTATAATCCATTGAGTACTCTCATGCTCATGCATGTGTTCTCTGTCAAGCTTTCAGGCCCTCGGTAGAAAACTCTTACCGCAGGCAGGTTGAATTGAATCGATTTGATTCATATCAAATAAGCGAGATTCGTTCTTCTTAACAAATATATGTCACGCTTATGATAGAAGTCCAAAAAAAGTGTTTTAAATGAGCCAAACTGCTTAACCAACATTCAAATTAGATAGAATGTCATGATAGAATCAATATACAAAAATAGTGATTTGCAAATTTGATCACTTTTAGTTTATCGATTTCTTTCACGTTTGTGACTCAAACTTTCTTTTTAAGTTGAATTGGGGGAAGTTTAGAAGTTAGAAATGGAAGCCAAAGCCTGATTAACACAAAAGAAAAGAAATTCTGCACATTTGGTCACACTCACACCACATGCGCTCTGCATAGAGTTTTGAGTGTCCCCTTCACAGCTAACCAATGAAAGGCACCACCAGATTTAAGGTCTCCAACATTGGTGCATGCATGCACATGTCTTCTACTGTGCATTGCTGTTGCAGTCTTTCAATTATCCAGCTAAGAGAAGAGAGATCCTTCCTAATGCACTTGGAAATATATATCCTGCACTGCAGCATCTAACAGAGTTTTGAAATTAAGGAAGTAGGGTTCTTCGGTAGGTAACTTGTAATTGAACATAATCAGATAGATAGAAACATAATTAGAGATTGAGAAAAAGAATTAGAGATTTGATGAGAAGAATTGGGAATTGGGATAGGAAGAACAAAATTGGAGAAGACCTGAATCCTCAAAAAGTGGGTTTCTAACAAGTTTTGTTTTGAGATAGATTACAACCTACTGGCCAAATTAATGACCAAAAATGGAGCAGTAGCAGCGAAATTCCGGGCCAGGTTTCCCTCTTCGATGTCATTTGTGAACTACTTACTGCTTGCTTGCTAATCAATCAACGCTGCACAAACTAAATGACTAATTACGTACGCAATTATACACTTAGCTCTGCAATAGGGTAGGTGTGCAAGAAATTATAACGCTCCCACACTTTCCCTCGACTGCGTGGCTCGATGACTATAGTTAATTAGCTAATTAGCTGCAGTACTGCATCATGGAAAATCTGCATTCCACCTTTTTTTTTTGGTTCAATCTAATTCATTCACTATAATGATTAACATCTTCTGTAGCAGTAGTGGCAGCCTCCAGTCCAGTCCATTATTTGCTCCCATACATATTGATTGCGCCCAACTGCCCTCCGCTTCTAGTTTCGCCCATTTATGACACACCACACCACTTCACTTCACTTCTCGGCCGGCCTCAGTTCTCCTCCTCTTTTATATATAGCTCCATGCACCCTCTAAGATAAGCTTTCCAAGTTTCATTTACCCTACATCTCCCAATCCATTAATTATTATTATTCAGAAACTAGATTTGTTAGAGAGTGGTATAAGATCCAGCAGAACCTTCTCCAACAACTCGAGTTATTGGTACCAACTGGTGCTTGACAAGATTATATATAAGAAGGTTCAAACTTCAAAGGGATGTAAATGGAATGCAATGCAAGGGATCGAATAATTCAAGAAAGACAAACACACATGCAGATGCAACACAATTTTCTTACGAATCATCCTCCTCGGGATGGCAGACAACTGAAGGCTGGCACTCATATGGGGACTCAATCAAACAACTTGGATGTGGGGCTAACACAAGTCATTATCTTTTCTCCTAATTTTGTTGGTAATAAAGTTCATCATTCATAAGAAAAAAAACACTCAATTTATCAATTTTATCGTGCCCAAAAATTTGTTTCGGATCATAAGGTATAGTCTGTCCAAAATTGAGTTACATATTTGTGGACAAGAGACTATCACTACTTATTTGCATCTATTTAAAGCGCTCAACAATAAAAATCTGGAAATTAAGAAAAGTTTTAGGGATTAGAGAGGAGAATTATAGAGGATTAATAACTCGATTTAATCCGCACAAAAAAAGACTAGATTTAATTTCCTTTAATTTTTTTTTTCCTTCTTAATTCTAAAAGAAAGACTCAAACACACATATTTATAAGAAAACACTCAGCCCTCTATAATTGCCAATTGATAATAATAGTAACAAGAACATAGGCTTCTAATCCCTAGCCTTGTCTTGCCTGCATGCCCAAGTCATGTATGTTGTTGAGTAATTAAATTGTGAAAGGTACCCTATGGTTTTGAGTTTTGCCTTTATAAAATTGCATTTCCTTTCTTTCTTTTTTCCCTTTTGATGATTATGCCCAATCATATTTATATGATACTATCCCATTGAGATCATTGAAAGAGACTTTACGTGGAAAGAGTCCTTCAAAAAACAAAAATTATGACATGGAAAATGATTTACTACAATGAGATTGATATGTCTCAATAACATCAGTCATCATTTACATACACATTGTAACTAGTTATATATGCATGCCTACCTCCACCGGGAAGATTTAAGCTATACTTTCTGATTCTGCTATGAAATTGATTAATGGTGGCGCTATTGATTTCACTGGTTTTGCGGGTGTAGATTTTGTATCATTTGTCTTTGAACGACACTATGATGGCATCACAGATTCTTTCACAATGGAGCTACTAACCTTGCGTAAAGCTACACGGTAGTTATTTTATTTTTTAGATGCGTACCTACGTCAGTAATTTGAGAGGTGCAAGTGAAGGAAAGAACTCGTGCGATAGGTGGTGCAGCATCGATGTGTATCATTTTCGTTTGCTCGCGTTCATTACACTCCTAGGCATCATAACATACATGTTCCTCTTGTGATTAAATAGGCTCTTTCATTAGAGGTTTGCTTATTTTTGCTTTTGGGCGGTAAAGAAATCTTGATCACTTCAGTTCATTGCTAGTATGAAGGACTAGCAACATCTTCACCTTATAGTCTTTTAAAGTCTTTTGTGAATCCATGTATTTATAGTTTAATTCGTTATAGATATAATATGAAAAATAAATACAATTTTTTTATTGTTACTTAATATCGGTAATAGATCTGACAAGGTATCCGGTACTAAACATTTTGTCCAAATTTAAAAAAATCATTTGACTATGCTCTATTTGAGTGTGAGTAGGGTATACAAATTCCCGTTTTTACTGGCAATCTTTGATAGGAGATAGAGGTTCTTAATTACTTGTTAATCACAATTCACCACCCAAATCATTTGTTTAGCTCCAATTAGGGATGGCAATGGGTAGGGTCGGGTGCGGGTTTACCCTATACCAAGTCCTAACCCGCCGGGTAGAACTTTCTAAAATACCCGACCAAATAACCACCGGGTATGAAAATTATATAACCATACCCTACCCACCGGGTAACCACGGGTATTCGGGTAACCATAGGTACGAATCCTAAATTATGAACTTATACACATATATGCATATACATATTGTTGTCTATTAAAAATTCTCAATACTTCTTTATAAAAAAAAATTCTCAATATTTGTAACTGTTCGAGCTTCAACAATCCACACAAATAAAAATAGATATTAATTGTTCTTGCTTCTACAATCCACACAAACATAATAATCGTCTACATCTTCATCATCAATAATGGTAGCTAAACTCAATTTCTCAAACTAATCTAAATTTCTCAAGGGAAATTGACCATTTGGTTAGCGGGGCGGGTATAACGGAGCAGGTATTATCGATTACCATACCCGTACCCTCCCTTTATTTTGAAACCGGGTATTACCCGTACCCACCCCTTAACCCGTCAAAGCGAGTAATTATCCTCGTTGACCGATTACGGTCGGTTAAGGTACTCATGGTTACGGGTTGGATTGACATCCCTAGCTCCAATAGGTTCCATTTAGTACACAAATACAAATGTTCATTAAAATATCCAGAAGGCGTCAAAGGGCAAAATCGTCCGAAAATCTGTATATTAACAACCCCCAACTTCCAACCTCCACACTTCCCATCCTTCCACTCCCACACTCCCTCCCAAACCCGCCATCGCCGGCCAAAAATCAGAACAGAACAGAGTAACCCCAAACTAACACAAGAAGAAAGAAAAAAAAATGGCTCCGCCGCCGCCGCTAACTCCTTCGCTCATCCTCATTCTACTAGCCACATTCCTCACCGCCGCCGCCGCCTGCCCGCCAGCCGACCTAGCCGCCCTCCAGACCTTCAAATCCGCCCTCACCGACCCGTACCTCGGCCTCTTCGACACCTGGACGGGCTCCAACTGCTCCGCCTACTTCGGCGTCAGCTGCGACCCGGCCACCGCCCGCGTCACTGAAATCAACCTCCGCGGCGAGTCGGAGGATCCGATCCTCACCAAGGCCGGCCGAACCTCCGGCTACATGACCGGAACCATCTCCCCTGCCATCTGCAAGCTCGACCAGCTCACCACGCTCATCATCGCCGACTGGAAGGGCCTCTCCGGCCAGATCCCCGACTGCGTCTCCTCGCTCTCCAACCTCCGCGTCCTGGATCTCGTCGGCAACAGCCTCTCCGGCCAGATCCCCTCCCAAATCGGAAACCTCGACCGCCTCGCCGTCCTCAACCTCGCCGACAACAGAATCTCGGGAGGAATCCCGGAATCGATTTCGAAATTGGAGAGCCTGAAGCATCTCGACCTCAGCAACAACCAGATCTCCGGCCGGATCCCCAACGATTTCGGGAATTTGAAAATGCTCAGCCGCGCTCTGCTTGGCAGGAACCAGCTGGCCGGCCCTGTTCCAAACTCCATGTCCAATATGTACAGGTAAACACATAACAATATACTTACATGGTCCAGTGATATTATTACTTAAAGTGAACCTGAAGATTTCAAATTCGAATTCAAGCATTGGTTAAAAATGTGATGATGAATCTATACGAAAACCCCGTTTGTGCAGGCTGGCGGACCTGGATGTATCCATGAACCAGATCTCCGGCGGGTTGCCCGGTTGGCTCGGGGACCTGCCGGTGCTGTCGACGCTGAATCTGGACAGCAACGCGATCGGCGGCGATATTCCGGCGAAGCTGCTGGGAAGCAGGGGGCTGGGGATAATGAACCTGAGCAGGAACGCGCTGGAAGGGGAGATACCGGACGCGTTCGGGCCGGAGAGTTACTTCATGGTGCTGGACCTCTCGTACAACAACTTGAAGGGGAAGCTCCCCGGGTCGCTGTCGTCGGCGGCGTACGTGGGTCACCTGGACTTCAGCCACAACCACCTGTGCGGGTCGATTCCCGCCGGGGAGCCGTTTGAAAAGTTCGACTCGGCGTCGTTCGGGTTCAATGATTGCCTTTGCGGGAACCCACTCAGCACTTGTTAGTTGATCAGTCATGGGAAAAGTGGAAGAAGAACTATATGTGGTGGGGTGAATTGGGAAAATGTACTGTATGTATGTAGTAAAAAAAAAAATGGTAAACCTTTTTCAAGTTACCGAGTTACTCAAATTATTATTTTTATTACTTATTGCTACCGCTTAAGGGCGGTTTTACCCTTATTCTTTAATCTTGTTGGGTGATTATGAAAGTGAAGAGGATGTGGATGAGGGAGGGGGGGGCTGTTGCATGCACGTGAAGGTTAGGCATACGCGTGACATTTCAACAGAGATTCTGAACAACTTTTTTTAATTACAGCTCGATTATAGCGCACTACTGGGTTTACATTGTACTGTAGCTATATATAATTTACCCAGAGCCAGTCAAATCGGGACTTTGTAAGTTGTATGAGGTTCAGTGTAAGGTAAACCTAAATTGGTCAAGTGGATCAAAAAGAAAACCCTCAAACTTAATCCTCATCAGATCAAAGATCTAAACGGTAAGAATAGCAAAATTGACCCTCTAATTCAAATCATAAGATTTATTTACTCTAAAAATAAAAATCGAACATTCTTATTCATCGGAATACATTAAAGTGTATCTAATTCAGAAGAACTGAACATAAAAGTTTGTAGTATTATCATAAGATAATCGTGCCGAAATTATTTTTCATTTGCAATATACTGGCATATAGTGCGTACAACATCACCAGCCCAACAAGTAAGGATGAAAAAGTTGGATAGGAACAAGGTTGTCAAACCGGTTTATGCCAGTGTGCCGGTTTAGCAAGTGGAATAGTTCGACCCGTGGCACATACCGGTTTGTGCCGGTTCATGCCGGTCAATATTACAAATAAAATTATGAATATTCATATTTAAACATGACATTTAACGTCAATACCTAAACATTTATACTTGAATCCAACAAATAACATAAATATTTAACTTTTATACACATAAAATAAATAACAAAATAATTTTATCAATTAAATTCACTAAAATAAGATCATTTTACTTAGAAATTCGTATATCGATCATGCCGGTCATGCCGGTAGTGCACGCCGGTTTTATGACCAGTACCGGTTGAACCAGGTACAACCGGTGGCACGCCGGTCGGCATGACAACCATGGATAGGAACAAGGTTGTCAACCCGTAGGCAAACCCGAACCCAGTCGAACTAGTGGGTCAAGGATTAATGGGTCACCCGGTTTAGTCCGGTTTAGCTCGAAAATATGAAAAGAGTCATTATATTGTACTTATTCTGATAAATTATATCAAATATCATCTAACATATGAGTTATAACATATAATATTACACCAAAATAACATGTCGTACTTAGATCCAACATATAGTGAAAATTCACACACACTTATATAACATCAATATTCAAATGTTCGACTTAGGATTCCAAACAATGAGTTAGGCGAAAAGAAAAATCGGAAAATAAGCGCATTTCACAAACCAAAGAAAAAAATGACTCAATTTAACCTCCAATTCGGCATTTTGTAGCAGTCGATCCGACGAGTGTGTGTGGCCCGTTTTTTTCATCGGTCCAAGGTCGCAGGTCGACCCGCGAGTTGACAACCTTGAATAAGAATGATAGAAAGGGTACATATTGTAGTTGGAGAGCAAATGATAGAGCAGAACCCCAACCCACCACCGCCCAAAAACAAAACAATAGAAAGGGTACATATTATCAGCAAGCATCACTCAATGGAAGACAAGAAACAAAACAAGAGAAACAAAGGAGCACGTGAATAAAGTCTGTTGGAGGTGAAGTGGTAAGTGCGATGGGGAAAAGAGATTCCTCGACTATTCTATCTCCCTCCCCTCCAAACAAAATCTACACCTCCACTTTCATCATCGAATGATTTCCTATTGGCGTATTATCATAGCTCTATCTTGTTGGGACTCGAAAGGAGGAGAGGAAGGCAACAATAAGCACCAAAAAGACACAATAATAATGCACCTACTTTTCTTTTACCCTTGTCATAATATGATGCAACCTTTTCTTCACAGATACCACTCGAGTGATAATAACATCAATGTCATTCAATCAGGCAATAATGATTATCCCATTTCTATGCAAATGTCAACATAGTATTATCTACCATCCAGAAATACACAAAGTCTCAGACTTATAATACTATTACACATATTTCGTGCAATGTATATAGCAAGAGATTTCTATTTTCAGCCGAATTATATGGAATCAATTTTGAGTACTACACCGAATTATATCGAATCAATAGAATCAAAATCTCACATTACATATCACGATTATATTGATAAAATCTTTGAAAGGCTAAGTAGAAATATAGCTCTTTATATCATCAGTTGCATTACAAAGAGCACAAAACAGACTAACCACCACCTATTTATAGTGTACCTTGTACAAGATTCGAGCTATTAGTTAATAACTTATTACTATTTCCGTGATCTGGAAACAAAAAGGTGGGTGGCCTGGTCTGGCCACAGCAGCATTCAAAGCAGTGTTGGATCCAGATCAGAAGAATTTCAGAAAAAACAAAGGGATAAGAATGAGTGGACTGTCAAAACAATTCACTCTCTCGATTAAATATCCACACAACCATATCCATTAATGCAATGTCCTCCTCTAACTCAGTACCTCACTTCAATGCTCCTCCCCCGACCCGTATATTTTAACTCCCCCGGCGCAAACTAGCATAACCATGCACACTTCTGCTATACTACACTACTCTTCCCCTGCCTCCTACATTTACACGTTATACTGCGTCGACTCCAACAGTGAAAAAAACAGTAACAGCGATGTGCATTGAGATTTGAGATCCAAGCAAGTGCATTTAAGATCCGACGTTGACCCAACTACCACGTACGACCAACACTGATATTATTACACACACATGATCTTGCCTCTTTATTCTTTTGATTCTAACCGGCAGTAAAATCCATGCAGTAAGAAAGAAAAAAAGAATAACCACAGGCAGGCAGTCTGGTAGGTAAATAGATAAATCACATTTCGGATTCAAACCCAATGTTCCAGAACCCTTCAGGAGTCATGGGAGGGGCGTACCTGTACCGATGCCTGGAGACGCCATCATGATGCTCGCACCTCAGGTTTTCATTGCCACCACCACCGCCTCCCTTCTCCAGAACGGCGTCGTAGAATTTCTTGCACTGCTTGCACTCCACGCCTTGCAGTTTCTCCCGGTCCGCTTTCTTTCGAACCGTTTCCACGTACTTGAAACCCTTCTTCTTCTTCCCCTCTGGCAGGGTTAGATGATCCCGCTTTGCTGGACGGGGGTCCACATTCATGTTCTGAGTTTCGTCATCAGAATCGTTATCACCACGAGGGATCACGTCTGCCTTAGCTGGAACCACGTCGGCAAACAAGTTGGCTTCTTCTTCCTCCATGATGATGATGGCTTTGTTCCTGTTTGCTCTGAGGTTCTCCAATGGAGTGCTGAGGAAATCGTCATGTGGGTCCGGCCCATTTTTGCCCTGGGCGGCGGACCGAGTCTCGACCCACCCTGAAGCAGGCCGCTTTACTCCGCTTATTATGGAGGGAGATTTTGCAGTGGGTGGAGGAAGCTTCCGAGCTGCAGGACGAGGTGGAGGAAGGTGGAAGCTTGGATTTGAAACCGTCTTCCACGGGTTGTCAGTCTCAACGACATCATTGATTCCATCTTCTATCTTCACTTTCTTTGGCTGTTGAGGAAATGGTGAAGTGTTTAAGTCCTTAGTCCTGAGCTCTGCAATAACACAATGCAATACGATCAGAATGGCAGCAGTCGTATCACGTATGCATTCTCTAGTTCAAGTTTCCAATGACCAAAGGCATTCTCAGAAATCTGCTTCCATTGGAAGGAACAATAGACAAAGTAGTACAGTAAAACCGCTTTAATTTAAGACAGTAATCAAAACTATAACGAACTGTGTTCCATAATCAATACATTTGCAGGGACTTATTTACTGATGCACAGCTAAAGCAGCTTTTTAAGATGGTTTCATCCTCAAAGATGGGATGTTAATGATAATGCAAAGCCACATGATTCTTCTTACCAGGTGATACCGTTGGACTCTTGGGGTGCTTGAACAAATCACCTGCATCTTCCAATTTAGCCTGGGGAAGCATGTTCCCTGATGTAAGACCACATTTCTCGCATAGATAGGTATATTGATGTTTCAACCTCTTGTATGCTTGAACAAGATCCTTGTTCTTTCCCTTCTCACCCACCAATTCAGCATCTTTCGCTTGAATTTGCTTTAGTAATTCTTCAAGTTTTTCTGTATCTGTTTCATCATCTCTACTGATATTGTTCTTCTGCAGCTCATTCACCTTCTCTTCTAAGCCTCTTATTTTGACTTCAAGCACTTCTCGAACCTTAGCATGCTCCTTACACGTAGAGTATTCACTCAAGACTTTATCACTAAGTTTAACAGCTAGTTTACTTGCCTGCTCTTGCAGCTCTTCCTGCAATGCTCTTCCCTCCTCCACTTCTCTACTCTTGTCATTCAGATTTCTTTTTAGTTCATCGATCTTCTCCTTAAGCTTGACCTTCTCCTCTTCAGTAATCTTTCTCTCCCTAAAGATTTTCGATTCCAATCCATCTTTTTGCCTATCAATTTCCTCATTCTTTTCTCCTATCTCCTTCATGAGTTCCTTAGCCTTCCTCTCCAACTCCTCAACTTTCCCAACCAACCCATTTGCCTTCTCTTCCTGCTGCTTGAGCTGCAGTGACTGTTCAAGTATCTTGGACGATTTCGATTGAACCATTTGAATCACCCTATCGCTCAATTCGATTTCCCTTTCAACCTGAACAGACTTCTGGCGAAGTTGCTGTTCTAGTAAAGCAATTCTCTCCTGTTCGTTTCCCGCTTCGACACCAGATTTCATCTCCCTCTTCTTTGCTTCCAACCACTTTTCCTTCTCGAGCTTCAGAGACTGGTTCTCTGCAATTGCTTCTTGCTGCCCGCGTTCGAGCTCCTCAATGCGGAGCAAGAGTGCATTCTCTTTCTCTTTATATCCATCCTCTGCTCGTCTCTTCGCCTCCAGATAAACCTCCTGCGAGTTCTTGTACTTGGTCTGGACATTAGGGTAGAGCTGGTTGCAGAATATGTACTCGATCTGAGAAATCCTGTCTTTCGCCTCTTCAATCGTCGCAACTAGAATCGTACTCAACCTAGATACATGCTTTACATCGTCCAGATCCACCAGAGAACCGCTTTTTGGCGGCAATTGATCCATTTCCCGCAAGAAAATAGCCAAGAACAGCAGAGTCCAGAACCACTACACCACAAACTGACCGACGGATTGGAGTACGATTTCAGTGATTGCGAAGCGGAAAGCGCAAACGCAAGAGACGAACTACTAACTAGTTTCTCGTCACACTCCGGCGAAAGAGATTACAGATCTACAGCTATCGGCGTTCATTGAGAAGCATTCCCGGAGAAATGAAGACAGTTAGAGCACCTTTCAGTCGACGCGAACTTTAAAGACGAAGGAAGTAGTCGCAGAGATAATTTGTTTACCTCGAGCCATATAGTCTCAATGAGAAAAGTCGATTCACCGCGAAGATTTCTTGCTTCGGCTGCTCTGGACGGCGGGTGGTGGAGAGTTTTCTCTGCAACGGCGACGCTCACACTTAGATTAATTGGCCGGGAAGGGCTTTGGCCTTTGGCTGACTGGCTACGGCGTACCCTGAAATCGGGGCGATGGCGGGTTGGGCGAAAATCCGAAAATGACAATTTTGAATTTTTGATGAGCTTCGCGGGCACGATTCACATTTCATTGTATGTTAGAATGCTTCGGGCCTGGACCCAATCTGGGCCACAGGCCCACATGGATCTCGAGCTCTTCTTCATTACATCTACGCACTACACTCCTATGTGTAGCAAGTAGGTTATGACAATCGTCAATGGTTTAGACACTTCACTGCGATCAGTCGATGAAATTCACAAGAGTATGAGCAATTGTTTACAGCAAATCCAACGCTCTTAGCTATGGCATCTCTGTGTGATGAAAACAGAGAAGCAGACACCTCGGCTCGGATAACAATGTTACATCAAGTAAAGGCACAAGTTTTTCCTCTCATGAATAAGTTGGTGGTGGAGATATCCCAAAACAAAACCCAACAAAGATTAGTGAACTAAATTTGACAATTTAAAACCAAAACTGAAGTACCTCAAACTAAACAGGTAACAAAAAAGAAGTCGCTGGCTTAAATACTCTACACTCATTCGTCCTCCTCAATGACCTTGGTGCCCAAACCCTTCAATCCCTCTGCAGGGATTTCGGCGACGGTGACAAGAGAGTAGAACTCTTCCTTGGCATCTTCCTCGTCGTTCCTCTTCCGTGCAATGCGAACGCGAACCCTCCTCGGTACGCTCCTGATGCCTCGGCTCCAAATCTGCTTGTTTAGCTTCACGTCGACTCTCACGTCAGTTGTTCCCATGGCCTTCTGTGCAAACTTCCTTATCTCCTTGATTGCCTTTGGTGCCTTCTTCTTGAAGGTACTTCACATAAGAGGAAAATAAGCCAAACCCACGAAACACATCAGATTCTAGAAACAAACTGCAACAAATCGACAGGAAACATGAATGGAAAAACAGTAACAGAGGATATTGCATCAGAGCTCAATTCGTCACAGTGAATGCAACAGCAAACGCCTACTGATATAAACCTAGCAACTGCAATTCAGTGCTAGATATTTGCTAGCCTCAGTTAACTACACAGCAAATCTAAAACAAAAGGCAATGTACAAAGCCTTAAATACAGAGGCTAAAACTACAGTTCACAGGTTTCAGCAACTTTGAGCTCTTCTAAACTAAGAATGGTAAGTCATTGATGCTCTGTAACTTCTCCCCCTTCAACTAAATCAACTCAATCTACAAATCTGTTTGGAAGCACATCACTGAACAGAAATCAACCTCAAATTTTCCAGTTCAGAGTCATTCATCACACTGAACTCCATAAATGCATTCACGCTTCGTCTAAATCTCAACCAAAACAAGTCGACAAAAGCCAGAAAGCAACACCCATACAGAGAACGGTGATCAGCTGACTGAGCTAAGGCTCCGTCTAATCCAAAATCCCAGTTATTTGCAATCGAGGTTGAAAAGCAAAGATCCAGAAATACGAAGGAGAGAAGAGCTCGAACGGTACCAGCCATGGAGGCGCTTGTGGAGGTTTATGTTATACTCTCGAGTAACGACCTCTTCCTTCCTTACTTTCCTCGGCTTCCCCTGCATGGCTACGCCGGCAGTTTTCTCTCCTAAAATGTTTCGCCGATCCCCCTTCTTCTTCGCCTCCGCCGCTTTTCTTCCCTTCTTTCGGCTGTTTCAACCGGAAAAGAACCCTAGCGCGAAGGTTGATAGTTGATATACCGCCCGCCAGAACTGAAAGTCCTGGCCTCAGAAGCCTATGGGCTCAAAAAGGCCCAAAATAATTTTCAGCCGTCTATGGGCTGTTCCGCCATATGATAGCTGTGCATGTTTATTCTGAGTAAGGGTGTAAGACTGGCTCGTAATGAAAATAGCCCATGATGGAATGGAATTAGCCAGTGACGAAAATCAAAATTATTTATTTTCCTTTTTTGGTTATTCCGTACATGCCAAAGTTCATGTGTCGTGTAAGGTCATTGCTTGCCTGCTAGGAACCAAAGTTGATACAAGGACACAGCATTATCCTTACAGCTTATGGCGCATGTTCGACAACCAATTATAATAATATAAAACAAAATCAACAGTTAATTACTTAATTAATCACAATTATTACGTTTTCTATTAGCTTAGTTTGGTTAAGCGAAAAAAGATTCCTTTGATTTGATTAGGCCAGCTGGTGCGTCTAATGACAAATAACAAATTATATCCATCATTCTCAAAGAAGGAGTCCAATCTTTTTCATCAAAAACAAAAGGAGGAGTCCAATCCAGGACCTCCACCTCATTCGCTAATTTTAAAGCCAGATTACAAAATAAAATATATTTTTTTCCTTGATGTCGTGTTTATTAGTTTGTTAATTGTTACGAAACAATACGTCTTTCGGTTTTCGCGTTAGGTAATCACGTCATGAATTTTTATGGACGAAAATATTTACTCATTATTTATTTGTTATATACATATATAGTAGCATTATGAGGTAGCTAGGTTGTCCAAAGTTAATGAATTGGGTGTATATAAAAAGAAAGGTTAGTGAATTGGCTTCAGCTTTGTATTGATTTGTTTTGGCTGACGAATCAGGAAACCAACAAAGAAAGAAGGTGTGTCTCCATACAATGAATGTTGGGGGTGTGCTGCACCAGAAAGAAACCATCATGTGCGTTTTGCATTTTAAAGATAAAGGGAACAGCAAACCTACAATTTTATTTATTTGCCCCCACTACTTTGTTGCTGGTAGGATTTAGACAAACCACCCCCAGGAGTCCTTCCAATCAAAGTCAGAAAGCAGCAACTTTCGTGACTTCTATGTTTGTGTTTTTGGAGAAGGAAAAACGAGGAGAAGAAGATGAACGTTGGACGAGAAGTTCGGCTGCAGAAGACTTTTTATAGTGAAAACGGTAGTTTCCTGTCGAAGGGTTACGTCGTTTCACAAAAGTCAAAATCAAATAATTATCCGGATTAATTAATTAAAATAATTCCGGTAATTAATTAGCCAAAAATTCAAATACGTGCAAAGTGCGTAGTGCGATTTAATATATCAAATTAAATAGCCCAGACTTTTTCCAAAAATCCACTAACCACTTTATTCAATAACTAAAGTGGAAAACAAACTTAAAAACAACTTGCACTTTCCTTCTCCCACCAATGTGGTATTTCCTTTACTCTTTGACTACTCTAACAATAAGTTTAAATTGTTTCCTCTCCTTCGTCTCGATAACCGTCGTGCTTCTTCTCATGGTTCAAAAAGGCATGCTTAATCTTACGCTTAGGCACGCCTAGGCACAAGGCAATGACAAAACGCCTCGCCTAGGGATTTCGCGCCTAATTAGATACTGGAACATGTTCATGGAGTACAGCGACATATAAGTCTCTCCAAAACATTACTAGATGGAGCTAAGAAGTCAATATTAAATACCAAAATTTACATCAACTATGAAATCAATTTTCTATTGCAATATTTTCAATAGCTCAAGAACTTTGTGAACTATTGAGCTATAATTCTATGAACTCGTAAGCTATATTCCTGTCATTAAGTGTTGAGTAAGTTATTAATCATTTTAACTGAAGTGGGAAAGTGTTGTAGATTATTATTTCATTCATCATGCACTGCGAATAGATATTTTCTTCCAACGCCTAGGCACGCTTAGTCAACGCCTAGGCGATCTAGGCACAAGGCAAAGGCTCAACGCCCGCCTTACGCCTAGAGCCTTTTTTAACCTTGCTTCTTCTAGCAACTCAACTTATTTAGACCAGTTGGTTTATGAGATAATATTAGAGTTGGTTTGTCATTGAAATCACGTGTTCAAGTTCTCACTACCCCCAATATTAACCTTTGTTTCAATGCTCATGGTATGTGGTAGCCTGTGCAAACTTCAAACTCATTAGTTGGTGTTGGGTCATGATAAATAGGCCTAAGTAGGCTCAAGCTCATATGAAAGCCCATAAATAAGGGTCCATGGAAGAGGGGCGCATGACGACAAAATATGCATGAGGACAAGTTAGTACGAAGAAAAAGGGTCCAGAGATTGCCATGGGCACATGACAACAAAAGAGGCTTGAAGACAAGCTAGTACGAACGAAGGAGGTCGAGAGGCCGCCACGTATGAGAAGTGGACACTGCTAGGCGCCCCTGACAGTAGGGCTGCAAATGAGCCAAGATGCTCGCGAGCAACTCGGCGTTCGAATCGGAAAAAACTCGTTCGACACTTGGCTCGTTGTTTAACAAGCCGGCTCGCGAGCCGACTCGTAAGTAAACGAGCCAAGCTTGAGCTAGACCATTCTCAGCTTGATAAGCTCGTGAGCTAGCTTGACTAGATGGCTTGTTGAGCTAAGCTCGCGAGTTGGCTTGTTTAGAGCTTGTGGAAGGATTAATTACTCTTTTGAACATGAAAATTATCATGTTAATAAGGATGTGTATGGAAGTTGATGTTACTTTTAGTTTCTAGTGTTCTTCTTATCATTTTTAGTTTCTAATATTCCTATTTGTACACATTTTTCAGTAAAGAATGGTTTCAAATAGAGCTCATCTTGAGCCGAGCTTGTACTCAGCGTGACAAGCTGTGTTAATGAGCATTTATCGAGCCGAGCTCGAGCTGGATTATTTTTAATCGAGTCGAGCTCGAGCTGGATGATCAAAATTCGAGTTCGAGCCGAGCTCGAGCTGAAAAATTTATAAACGAGCCGAGCTCAAGCTGAGCAAAAACTCGGCTCGACTCGGCTCGTTTGCAGCCCTACCTAGCAGCAAAGCCGGGGGGTTCCACGTAGATGCGCATGGTCGTTGAACCGTACCAAGCATTTAATGCCTTGCTGACGTAAGGCTGGATTTCAGGAGCTTGGTCGGGACCTCGGCGAGTATAAATAGTGCTCGGTAGGTGGCATTTAAGCAGGTTGGATTCTCTCACTAAAAACACTCTCGACACTTATCTCTCTAGAAATTCGTCTAACTTGATCGTCAAAGTGCTAACGGACCAGGTAGGCCCGCTGTGCGCCTCTCTTTGCAGGGTCCAGGCGCCAATCAGGAGATTCTCCGTGGAGTTAGATTGTGGATCTTAGGAAGGGGGTATCACGGCTTAAACAGTTGGCTTTCGTTTGATGGGGGCCTCTAAAGAAATGGTTAAATACTATACACGAGCCTCTCTGTGAGAACCACGGATCTAGGCGTGCGATTTAGGGATCAAACGAACTAGGGATTGGGGATTTAGGTGAGAAAGAACGGGAATTTGGGATGAGAGAGAGAGCAGAATCGGTTTCCCGGGTGGGAATCCGCCGAAGGTGAGAGGGAAGGAAGGGGTCGGCCAAGGTGAGGAGAGAGAGAGAGTTGGGAACAATTTCCGTATTATTGCTTGCCCTTGACCTAACATAACATCATATATATATAACCCGACTAATTACTGTTCACTACCCGAATAATTAACCTAACCGAATGAACCCCCACAATTCCCCTATCTGACTATATCCGAATAATACGTAAATAACAAATAGACTCTCAACAATTATGTTTCTCACAATTCATCCCCCTTGAAACCCACCTTGCCCTCAAGGTGGTCCATGGACCTTGTCGTCCTCCTTCTTGTCCTCTCCTTCCGCACCCATCTCTATTTCCTCGCCTTCATCCTCCCAGTTTCCAACCAGCAGCATTAGGTGACTCTTGGTGCACTGATGGCCCACAGTATACCTCTCATCACATTTGAAGCAGCGCCCGTCTCGGCGTTTCTGGTCCATCTCTGCCTGGGTCAGTCTCACGAACCCGCGCGGTGGTGCTCTGGCCGGGAATCTCGTTCCGACAGTGGTCCCCGCCGCCGGAGGGCTTGCTGCCGCTGCTGGTGCTCCCGTCCCAGTACCGGCGCCTCCACCTACTCCACCACTGGCCTTCTGCATCCTGCCCACAGAGGATCTCCAGCTTGCTAGCTCCTCCTCCTTCCGTCCTGCAATTCTGAAAGCCACCCGAAGAGATTCTGGTTCGAAGACCTTGACCACAGTGGCCAGCTCGGGCCTCAGGCCCGCCATGCACAACCCCACCAGTGTTTCTTCGATCATCTCTTTGCATTGGTTTCCCAGCTTCAAGAACTCCGCTCGATACTCCGCGACTGACCCTGTTTGTTTAAGTTTGGCCAGCTGCTCCGGTGCCCAGCCTTCCGCCCTGCCAAACTGGTACCTGAGCTCATCCTGGAACCGAGCCCATGAAATCCTCTCACCTGCTGCAGCGTATGCCCGCTCAGTCCACTCCCACCACTGGAGGGCATCCCCCTCCAAATAGAAGGACGCCAGATGCGCCTTCCGTTCCTCTCTGATCGGATGATTCCTAAACCACCTCTCCGCCGCATACAACCACAATCCCACATCTCTAGTGCCATCAAATTTCGGAAACTCAATAACCGGAGGTTTAGCTCTGAACACCAGTTCTTCCTCATAGTCATACAGAGGGTTACTGTATCCGTACCTATTACCGCCTGATGGCTGCATCGAGTGACCCGACCCATGGTGTCGGTACTCCGGACCCGCGTTCTGCCTGTCGGAGTAGGCCCAGTCGGCCGTCTCCTGCTGATATTCCTCCCCGCCACCCTTCTTAGTGCCGGATCCTTGCCCTTCCTCCAACATGCGCCCCTGTCGCGCGCCATCAGCCCGTGGAGTGCCCCAAGGTGGGTACCCAGCCTCGTGACCAAGTCTCTCGCGTCCGGGCCCTCCTCCCGG